CTCTGCCTGATTTGCTGAATGAGGAGGAAGAGAGAGCAGGGGATTTTTCTCTGTCAGGTCTCCGCAAGCACGGCTGTGTTGAATATTTAAATACAACATTTGCTGTCGGTGCATATCGTTATACACTTTTTTTGGGGAACAACAATCTGTGGAAGATTATGTTTGCCTTTTCATTAGAGTAAAAACAAAAATATCAAACAAGCACTGAATTATATTTTAATGGAAGTTGATGTTATGTTCTGTTTCAATCAAAAATTGTTTGGGAGTATCTCTCCCCTTTGTTGCTTCAAACCCAAGCAGCAGTTTTGGTAGGGACGGTATGTTGTCTGGATGATGGTGGTGGTAAAGAAACTTGGAACAAAGACAATATTTGCAAGAGTGAGCACCATTTAATCTGTATTCAGACACCTGACTAAGAGCTGGACTGCACAGTCCTTGAGTACCCAAGGCCCTCCTGTAGAAGCAACTTCATTCTGCAGAATTGTTCTGTCTATGTGGACAGCTTCATCTCCTCTCAGACTCCCCCTGCACCTGAAACATGTCTCTAGTCCATAAATAACAGTGTCTTGCTGGCACTGAGCCTCAGTCCTGGAGGCTGATTTATGGACCTTCAGGAAGAGCAGGCCAGCCCTTGAGGCCATTGACTCACCCCTCCATATTTTAACATCCAGGAGGATGTAAGGGTGGCAAAGCTGAAACACTGACCTTCTCATGCATTGCAATATACCATATATCAGGTAGTGCAATCGTTGGGTTAATGCTGGAAAAGCAGCGACCAGTAGAAGGTTTACTGTGAAATAAGCAGAAATTTAGCATGCCTGAAAATGGAAAGGCAGCAGGGCATCTCAATGGCATTTGAAGGTAACAAAACATCCATGGAGTGAGTGAATCTGTGTATTGTTACCAGCACCAAATCCCTTGATGCATTCTCAGTAAGTTAGAAGTTGTAGCATGTCGAAAGCTGTGACAAAGAAGGTGTGACAGTTAAAAAGGAAATATCAAAAATAAAGTAAAATAAATCTTTGAACAAGCTGAACTCTAAATAATTAAAACTCGCAAAAAGTGTAAGAAGTGAAGCAGAAATAATTGTTGGTGCTAATATTTAAAAGCTATGAAATGCCTGCATGTGTCCAGGCATCATTTTCTTTTCTAAGATGTCAGATTTCACATGACAGAAAGTTATCACCCCCAGACTGGTATTTTTGGAACTGCTCAGTGTCTGTCTAATCAGTTGGTGAGAGTAGTTAACAATTGCAAGCCTCATGCCTGGAAATAAAATCAACGTGAGTGTTCCTGCTGTTGGCTGAGTTGGGCTGGGGGTGGGCAGGTTGGTGGTGGACAGTGCTGGGACCTTCAGTGCCCAGCAGATGCCCACTTTACCCACTGCAATATGCTTTTAATCATAACTTGCTTTCTATCCCTACTAGCGAGGATTTGAGTGGGTCAGCGGGAACACAGAAACCCAAACAGTAAGCGGTACCCTGGATTTTAACCTAGAGGCATAACAGCCATTTCACTCTATAAATCTATAAATATTGCTACAAGCCTTTTGTTGTAACATTGCTGGAAGAGCTTTTATTTTCATATTGCAAAAATAGGAAGAAAGTGTTGGATTAAGACGACGGCGTAGCCAGCAGGAACAAGGGAGAGTAGCGGCACTCTGTGACAGCAGAAATAAAAGCACAAGCAGGGAACCACACTGCAAACCATACCCACCAGAAACTACTAAAAATGAGGAGCTGCCCCATGCAGGCTGGAGAGCTGCCACCTGTGGAGACAGAGAACCCTGGAGCTGCACAGGGCACAGCTGTGGAGGGCAAGCTGGGGAGTCACGCTGTGCTTGTGAGGGAAGGAGAGCTGGGGGAGCAGGGGATGAAGTTTCTAAGCCTTGCAATTTTGCTGTGATTTGTTCAGGATGGGCTGCTCACCCGTGAAGCAGGAGATGGCTGCTTTTTTCCTGCTTTTTATTTCTTTTCTTACTTTTTTGTTTTTCTTCTCTATTGCTGCAGAGCTTTTGTCAAGTCAGTGAGTTGAAACATTCTCCAGCAGGGTCAGACAGGAGGTACAGACAGCCCAAAAAGGGCTTCTCAGAGGGGGACATGGGAGAGGCAGAAAGAGGGAACAGGGAATGGGAGAAGCTGCGGGTCTGGTGTGTCCCAGCTTGTGCCCCTTCCTCCTGAGCCTGGTGCTGCAGAGGATGTGTGGGTGGTCATGGAGCTGAGGCCTCCAGGTCCTGCTGTGGGTGTCGATGGCCTCAAAGCTGTCAAAGTTGTGAGCATGGCAGGTCCTCTTGGCATCCACAGCTCCCATCCCAAATAGGTGTGCTTGAACACTTCCCAACCACTGTTAAGAGAGGGCCAGTGGAGACAGGGTGTGCAGTATCTACCATGATTGCAGTGGCTGCTCTGGTAGCTGTGTGTTCCTCTGCTTGTTAATCCCCACTGTCCTCACTGTTGATTTAAATACCTATATGTGACATTTGCAGACTAATGGAGCACGGGGACCCAGAAGGAGCCTCTGAAAGGTTGTCTGATATGATCCACATAAATCAGAGCCCATTCATTCTTGCACATGATCCCCTGCCTGCGTAGACGTGGCTTCTGCAGCAAAAAACAGAGATAAGTAGCAAAAGCTGCTCAAGGAGAAGCCTCATTGTACATGTTATGACAGTCGGGAGAGGGATTAATCCTGGCAGTGTTTCCCTTGTATTTGTTAAGGCGGATGATACACAGTGACAATGGCAGCTGCTCCTTTCCAGAGCGCTGCTGGGGAAACCTTACCTGCATGTTCCTTCAGAGGTGCATAATGCATCATTCCCAGCTCACAGGGGTGATCAAACCCACAGGTGACAAACACTCCTGTGGCACCACACATAAACATAGCACCTGATTAGCTCACATTTTGAAGAGCCTTCTCTGGAGGAATGTAAAGCTGTGAGTGTCACGGTCTCTGTGAGGGCAGCACAGACATGTCCCCTTCCATGTTCATGGATCAACAGCCTTTCCTGGAGTACGTAGCTAAACTCTTTCTCTAAACTTTTGTTTTCATAATCTGCAGAGAAAGAGCAAGGCTTTTTTCCTGCCTCATTAAGTGTGTTGGCTTAGTGCTTGTGTGTAGCTCAGCTAAGGCAAAAGAGAGTTGGTACACTCAGAACAGCACTCGAGAATCTTTGGGCTACTTGAGGAAAAAGTGTTTCTCAATCACTCCTTTTGAACCCACTGCATTTAACATAGAAGTGCTAAACATGAGTGGAATGAGTGGAAAAGAATAAAGAGCTTTGATTTCTCAACGCTGTTGATGAATGTTGGTGGTGATGGGAACTCTGGGCTAATTGTATCTATGTTGGGGATTTTTTTTCCTTTCTTTTTTTTCTTTCTTTCTTTCATCCCATAATTGAACAAGCTGCTAAAAGAACCTTAGGATTAAATATTGAACAAGATGGTTCCCGAGTAACTGTTGCAGCTAATGCACCAGAGAGTTGTCCAAGTTTTTGCTACACTTGTGGTGTTTAGGGAATGCTCTTGATAGGGATTTGACTCTCCTTGCTGTAAACACACAGCTGTGAGCAACAGTTGGAAGGATGGAGAGGCACTTTACCTGCACGTCAAGCTATTAACCCTTTCTGGATTGCACAGATTCCCCTGGGAGGAGAGAGTGAAGCTGTTTAGTTCTCCTTACAGGGGGGATTCCCTAGGAACAGACAGTCCTACAGCATTCACTACCTAAGGCTGACTTACCATCAACAAAAGCTGAGAGACGAAAAGAAACACAGTAAGTGATCTAAAGAGACAGCCATGCTGTGATGGAAAAAGCCTTTAAAAGTAATTACATAAAAAGCATGAGCTTCTATGCAGTTAGGGTCCCTGAATGGAGTAATTAAAAAGGAGCATGTATTTTCTGTTAGAAATCTATCAGAGGTAAAACCAAAATGTAATCAGATTCAGCTTTTACATGGAAACTTTTTTCACTTCACAGAACAACTGAAAGAAGGTGAATAACAAATACCACAAATTCCATCACTGTCATCAATATTGAAGTACTTTGCTGAAACAAAATGTTACGAAGGAAATTGGAAATGGACATTTAAAGACCAAAAATTCACTGGATTTTCTCCCCAATTTGATTGTAAGTAACCATACCCTCATTTAGTGCAGCATGTGAAGTGTCTGAGCAGCCCAAGGAGCAGGACAGTGCTTCAAACACAGGCTGTGCTGCTTCATCTACTGCCAAGGGAAGGTGTTGGGCTTGTCAGAGTAGTTTGTATGTAAATTGAGTGAGGTTATTTGTGCTTCAGTGTTACTTAGAAGTTAAACAGCCCTTTTAGAAGGAAATTTTAGTCAAATCAACACATACATTCTACTCTGTTCCCAATGGGGAAGCAATTAGGGAAGCCAGGAGAGCATTCCCAAACAGCACTGCTTAACAAACAGTCTGAAGTGTTTGGTTTTTTTTAGTCTAATAATGATACTGGCTGGATGACTCTTTTGTCTTTGTATTTCACTCCCTCATGGTTTAAGCATAGACAATAGTTTATGAATCTCCTGTTTTGTAACAGTTCATGGGAGTGTTGCTATTGTTATTTTTTTCCTGTTGCATAGTGGGAAAAGAGGCAGAAGATAACTTATTTGCCTGCTCATATCTTACATGTTCTCAAGAGCTCGATAAGAAATAAGAAGTTCCAGAAACACAAATGTAAAATTGCAAGCGTTGCTTAGCAGGATCTTTCCTACCTAATTATCTGAATATCCAGTCTGATTGCACCTCCAAGGTGAGGGCTGTTATAGGTTCAGAAATGTTGGATTTTGTTAGTTCAGCCAGACCATGTTCTGTCTGGATACTGAAATGCCTGGTTGAAATTCCGTGGCTTGTGTTATACAGGAAGGCAGGAGAGCAGGTCTTAGCAATTCCCTAAGCTCTTGAGATGCATTTTGAGGATCTGTCAGTCAGATTGGGAATCAGGCTCCTGGAGGATGAGAAGCACACAAACAGTTGTCTTTTTTGATTTTTTTTTTTTGCTCAATGTGTAATTTAGCATCACGTGAAAGATCTGTTGCAGAGCATGACTCTTATTCTCCAGGGCAGCTGTGATTGTCTCTGTTCAGTTCTCTCTTCTATGCACTTTGGAACTCTTTTGTGTAAGAGGTGAGCTCTTGTAGCTGTCAATGGTTCTTATGAGGGAAGTTAACTTCTACCCAGGGTTGATATTCCATTGAAACACTACCTATGACAAGAGAAGAAAGGGAGCTTGCACTGTGCACAAAACCAAACTCCATAAGTCTAATGAAACTTTAAAAAAATGATGTCCACCTTATTCTAAGATATGGTTTGAAAAATCACTGTGTAAGTCAAATGAGTCACACCTGGAATTTCAGTTGAGGTTTTCAGGGGAATCCTTATTTAATGTTTTCATGTGCTGTGGAGTTGTCATGTGGTAATAGGTGAATTTATCATCATATTAACTATTGTGGTTGTTACACTAACCATTACTTCCCCATCACCCTTTCTCTCCAGTTCCCAAAAGAAATGCCATTATCTAATACCCTTTTTTCTCCAACTAGGTTGGTGAAGTTCAATGCTGAGTTCTGCAGGATTGACTTGGAAATGCTTCCTTTTGACTTTGATGCCTGGTTACTTGGAAAGCCCAACAACAGCATGGATTTAAGAATCTGCCTTGGTAAGTACCTTTGACTGACACTGTTACTAAGATGCTCTAACTTGGATAATTTCATTTGTGTCTCTTTGTAAAAACAGATTTGTTTTTCGGGCCTTTGGCCCCTTGAGACCTCAGTGATGTGAATGTGAGCAGTGCTCTGTGCATTTATGCGTGCTCGTGTCCCGGAGCCTAGAAGCACAATTTCCCGTAAACATTTCCAAGTTTGGAACAAAAACAGGTTTTCACATTAAAAGCACCTTTTTATGTTTGCAAGAAAGCTGTGTGTGAGCTGGATGTGCTCAGGCAAGTGCACTTCATTAGGTAATTCTGCTCTCAGCTGTGTGCTCATGAACCATTCTCCGTTTAACCTCAGAGAAGGATGTGCATGTGTGAAGTCAGTGAGCTCTTGCAGTCCTAGGAGTCATCCTTTTGGAAAGCATTAACAACTGCAATAACAGAGATAATATTTTTAAAGCTGCTTTAGCTGAGGTTAACAGCTAAAGGCCATCTGAGATCCCTGCTCCATTTTCCATTATATCATATTTAAAAGAGTGGTGTGGTATCCAGCCCCCTTGGAGAGATGTGTCCCAGCCACAATAACCACAGCTGTTAAGTTTGTCAGGGAACTTTTTGTCAGGAATGAAATTATCCAAATATTGGGAAAGGCATCATATGGTTACCCAGTACAGATACTCAGTGTAGGTAAGGTTGTAGTCATAACAGCACAATAATAAAACAATAATAAAGTTGTTCCTTCTCCTCTCTTCCAATCCCCACCCCTCAATAAAAAAAAACCAAACCAGTCCTCAACTTTTCTTAGGTTTCCTGTTTTCTTCTTATTTTCAGTGATGGCCTGTGCCATGACTTCAGTTCAGCAAGAACTGCCTGCTTGTGCTAAGTGCCTTCAGGTAGGATTGAGTGGCTCAGTTATCCTGCTTTATGTGACTGCTTGAGAGAAGACTACAACCAGTCTCATCTGCAAAATGAAGCTCAAATTCTGTATTTATTCTAGCCCTGTATTGACTGCAGGTATGGCTTTGTTTGCAGCCTGGCACTTGGAAGTGCTGTTGCAGTTCCCTGGCTTCACATCATCAGTTTTAAGCTTTCATCCTGCCTGGAAAAGAAATGTTATCATATCTAATGGGAACTATATTTTAGCAGTAAATAACAGAAAGGGAAGACATCCTGGATATCCCTTCCACTGTTTTTCAGACCAGTATTCAGCACACCAAAGGCAGGGGTCATTGTGTGAGCTTCCCTCCAACTCCTGTGTTTAGGCAAGGTAGGCTGGGCTAATGTTTTATAGCAAATAGCAGTAAGTTTCTAGACTAAAGGAGGAAAACAACAGGTAGTATGTGTGTCACTGGAAATTGTGTCACTGCTGGAGGGTGGCCAGCCAGTCTGCTTTTATTTTTATATGCTGATGGTGCCGTAGACCAATTTACAATGCCAATGATTTGGCTTTTGTCTGTTTAAAAGATGGCTGTAGTCTAAAGAACAGCCAATTCCAGTGACCTTTTAAAACTGCAGGTTATCTTAAGCCTGCTGAAAATAAGTCCACTCTTTGAAAATCCAGAGCTATTGTCTTCACGCAGAACAGAAAACATAAGAGCATCAAAAATCCAACCTCATATTCCTCATCTTATTCTGTGGGAGTTATTCTTGAGCATGCAAGACCCCACACATTATTCCTGTGAGTGCTTACATCTGACAGTCTCTTTTGTAATATGTCTGGTGTTACAATTCTTCTCTTTTTAATAATGACCTGCTTTTATTCAGAAATAGTCAAGCTACAGCAGCCCCGTCTATTTTAGATAACAAAGACTGCTTTTTAAACCTGAAGTGTGTGAATGCTTTTTAAACCCCTCTTTTGTAAAGATAAATCTGATATTCTTAAAAACTTAGGTTGTGCATTTGCTATAACAAACCACTTGCCGCCGATGCGTTGGGGGGTTCTTATTTTTTTAATAAATTGTTTTCCAAATAAATAGCAAAATTCCCCATGGACACTAGGGTAGTGCTAAACATCTGGCTTGTCTCTGTAGACTGCACCATGTGGAACCCGAAATATCTGGTTCAGTGCTGTGCCTGTCTCCCAGTTATATTCAAAACATCAGCTTTTCTTGGAGAACATTTGGTAAAAGCTTCCTTCATTGCTTTGGGCCAATTCCCGTGTGGATATTACTCCTTCAGACCGATGTGAAATTATTCAGATTACAAAAAAGTGAAGTTGTCAACATTTGTTTGCAGAACAAAATGCTGCATTGCAATAACAAGTGTGGAACAAGGAAAATTCCAACAGCACGTAATACATTGTAGTTCTAATTTTTCCCCCCACATTTATAGTGTTAATAGAATATTCTCTGGTCTGGAAGACTAATTGTTTTTTTAATAATAAAAAATTTTTATGTTACTGAACTCAATGAACAGTTCTCTCCTACCCAAGCAGACAAATGCCTCTCATGTAAGTACCAAACAGCCTATATATAACTAAGATCTTGATTTTTGTCCACATTTCAACAGCTTTTTGTCAATATGATTTGGTAAAGAAAAGTGAGAGAACAGAGTTTCTAATGATGAGGTGGAGCTGTTGAGGGGGGGGAAAGCCCAACAATTACCTTTTTTCTTACATTTGCAAGTTTTGTTGTTAACATTACAAGGTTAAAGCTTTTTCATGGCCACATTCCTCAGACAATCTCCTTTGTGCCTTCAGGATGCTTTTGCCCTACTCCAGGGCTAGAGACCCTTCTGTGTACATCATTCCACCACCTACCAAAATCCAACTGGATGTGTTTCTGGGGTGGGGAGGGTTTCTGAAATCAGCTTTACCATTAATCCGAGACATAATGGGTTTTTTTTGCTCTATCAGATTAATTGCATGAAAAGGCACATGCACTAAATTGCCCCTGACACTGACCCTGTTAACAAGTGCCAGGGATATCTCATTTCATCTGTGGTTAAAGGGAAGCTCGTGTGTCATTTTATAGAAAACATGGATTCTGTACATAATAAACCCAACAGCAAACATTATCTACAGCAATAGGACCTTTCAAAACCTTCTGAGAGAGACTCACTGGATTACAAATTCTCTGCAGTTGCACCATCTCTGGTTCAATCACACAGATTAATGTGATCCATTGCTCTTATCTGCACCAATTTTATTGCATTATATGTATGTCATGAACATGGTTTGTGGTCGAAAAGGGAATTGTACTGCCACAGTATGAGAGTGAAAAAGCATAATTAAGAGACAAGTCATGAACATCCTTTATTATGGTCTAACAGCCATGCTAATAGTCTTGCTTTACATTTGTGTGTAAAAGGTAATTCAAGAGGCCATGCCTTATGAAATAAATTTAATTTTGACATTAGGATGCTGTTATAGCTTACATAGCCTGTAGATGACTTAAAATGGCTGTCTGCCATATAGCTTAAATTCGAGACACAAATAGAACCTTGACTGGAGTCTTGACTGGGGTCTAACTTTTAGTACCTGGTGAAACAATATTTTTCCATTTAAAGAGCTTTTCACCTTTGTTTGCAGTGGGGGTATTATCATTATATAAATGGTGACAAGAGGTTTTCACCCAGATTATACATGTGCAAAAAAACCCATACATTAAGCTAGAACATCCATTTCCTGAAAATATGGCACAGGAGAAGAGAGAGAACTGGTGTGGGTGTGAACCCCACACCTGCATTTTAGAAAGGCACATTATACCTGTCCTTCCACCCATCTGTTCATCACCCAAGGAATCCTGAGAGCTTTTTTGCTCTGCTTCCTGTGCCTATGGAAACAGAAAAACTAAAGGAAGATGGATGACTTCTCTGTGAAATTTCCTTCCAGGGAACTAACTGCAAATTGCAGCGGTTATTAATACTAGTAATTCAAGTCTAATCAGGGAAAAGTAAGTAAAAACATTTACTTTGCATCCTACAATCTATGTTGGGGCTGGGAAACAAGAACTCTTTTTCTTTTTTTGGCACTTGTTTTCATTTTCTTGACTTTGTTGTTTGTTTATAGAAAATAATGGAAAAAGGGAAGCTATGTCAGGAAGGAGAAAAACTCTCTTGTCACCTGGGATAAGGGGAATCAAAGGTGAGGTCCAGGGTGAAAAATGGGCAGAGAAAGGGCTCCCATGTCTGAGATAGGTGCATCTACAGGGGATTTATGTGATGTGGGCTGTTGTTGTCCTAGGTTTTTAGTTGGGAGTTCCCCTTGTGGGTAGAGCTTTACTCCTGACCCCTCGTGGTTCTGGATATTCAGTGTCAAATTGGCCAGTGTACTCCATTTCCTGTACTAATATAGGTCTTCTCTTTGCTTAAATCATGCCTTATGCCAAGTGGGAGAAATTGAATACACAAAGTCATCCATATTCCACATCCAAAATGATTTTGGGCAACCAGGTTCAGTGCTTTCATTTAAGCAGCAATTTTATTTAACAGATGGAAAATAAAATGAGGAAAGTACAATTTCCAGTAAGATTCTGCTGAACTTTGAACAGGAATGAAAGGACAAATAGTGATATTCTTATTTTTGCCAGAAGTTGTCTTGCTCAACACCATAAGACACTATTTAGTGCAAGTGAAGCTTCGTGTTCTGATTCAGCACTGATTGACTTGTTCAGTTTGAAATCAGATTGGGAAAACCTATGCACTGATCCTACCATGAAATACTTCATTACCTTGTAATAGGCAATATATTCACTCAGTTGTTTTCTGTAAAATAGATATATATTTTAAACAGCATTCACCTTTAGCTTGTATTTTGCTAATTTTGTGTACTTCTATATTTTCTATACCTTTCTTATTGACTGACCAAGATTAGCAGTGCAGATATTCAGCAAGCTTCCCTTCCAACAGTGCTTTATTTTTATTTAGGAGCTTTTACTTTGTAACCAGTCAGTCTGGGATTCTGATGAGCTGCGTCAGAGGCTCACCACGCCAAATCCTGTCTTTGTGACATTTTTGGAACTGGTGCGCTCCAGAAATAATAGTGAGGAGTTAAAAATGCTATCCAAGAAGTCTCTTTAACAGGCAGCTACCTAAAGAGACTGCAATCTTCATTAATACAAAAAGTAACAGCATTTATTAAATGTGAGAAAAACTAGAAGGTGACTATACTTTGTATTTGATGCAAGTAATGATGTATATTATTTTGATAGAGCAGCTTTGACAAGCTCCTCAGATGGTTTAAACAGAATCGTTACATGCACATCTGACTCTGTTACTGTTAAGAGGCTCAGTTGATTTATTAGTGCAGTATTGCTTTACACTTGGTTTATTCTTTGGACATGTTTCCGGAGGGTTTAGTTTCACAGTCTCTTGGGCATGGCATTTTGTTGACTAGCCATCATCTAAACTTGGCCAAGAGCAATCAGATGAGCTTTCCGCCCAAGCTCTGTAAGCTACATCTGTTCTCAATAATTGACAACACAGTAATCCTCCCCCAAAACTCCTCCTTGGGGCATGTTGTATCCTCACTTGCCCTGCAAATTCATCAGTTGCTTGGCTCTGCAGATCAGTCACCTGCCTTGTGCATTATTTCAGCAAAACTTCCAATGCTGTGGACGAGGAGATGTGGTTGGAGAGGAAAAGGTGGCATCACGAGCAACAGGAAAACAAGGCTGTGAATATCAAGAAGCATTTGGCAGTGCCAAGAGGGTGCAGCTCAGATGGCACAGGCCCACAGCAGTTGCCCTGTTTTTCCCATTGAAGTGGAAGCATTTAGATTTCAGCTGGTCACATTTTCTGTACAGTGTTTGCACAGTGTTTGCACCAACGTAGAGTTCACATCCCTCAAGAGGGCCTTAGGTGAAACTGCAGAGATTGTCATATTTTCGGTTTTTTCTACCATGAGACTTAACCTAAGGAAGAGAAAAGGAAGTGGGTCACAGGGGAGCAGAAAAGGCTGTGACTCTTGCTGAAAACTGCTCAGCAATAATGAAAACATCCCCAAATTATCAGCACTGTTTCCAGTGCAAATCCAAAACACAGCCCCATAGCAGCTACTGGGAAGGAAATGAAGGACCCCAGCCCAAAGCAGCTCACTGAGGTGTTTGCATTGTCTCTTTCTACTTTTAACAATGGCTTTTTATGTGCCAGTGTGATGGCTGAAAAGCAACCTGATGCAGTGGCTACATAAATTTGGAAAACTCTTCTTGAAATCTCTGGTATAACCCGTGTACTATAGCGTGTCCAAATGGATTTAGTGTATCATAACGCTCCTAGAAAAACAAAGGGACAAAGAAGATGGGATTGCTAAGGGAGACATTAGATTTCATTTCACACTGGTAATAGTTTAGAGATGTGTGCTGAGCAAAATGTGATTCAATTCTGCGGCACTTTTCTTTTTTATTGCTGCTAAGTGATTTCAATATCCAGTCTAAAGTGATATTGAGAGTGTTCGATAGAACGGGGATGAAATCAGGGAGCGCTGGAGGCTCAGAGGAGGCCACAAATCTCAGGTTGACTCGACGAAGCCTTTCGGAGCCATCCCCACCTGACCTTAACCCATCTTATTTAACCTGGAGGCTGCTGGTAAGTACCTTGAAATGTAAGATATGGTCTGGTGTTAAAGGGAACTACGTGGCTAGATTGAATTTTGGACATCAATTGATGCTACGTAGTTATGGCTTTGGCCGTGAACTTACCGCTTTCAGAAACATTTATGGCTAAAAGTTTATTGCCCAGCTGTTGCTGCCTGATAGACATATCATAACTAGGAAATGGTTTAAACCCTGTAACCTTTCAATTTATGGCAGCTGAAAGCAGATGAAGATTGCTACACAAACAGGGAGGAATACCTGTAGTCGATGGTCACAAACATGGTACTTGGGGGCCACTTCTCAAAGCTAAGGAGCTCCTTTCTGCTTCTGATAAAAACATGCAGCTAGAAAAGGTGAGTGTTGTTATTTGTGCTACATATTTTGCATTATCGATGATTGGAGTAATTTCTCAGTTTCTTGAATTTTAACTCAGCTGTTAAAAATGTGCTTTTTATAACAGTGTACAGTGTAGGATACTAAATCAGATGATAATGGAAGGAGCCTGAGGGGCACAGGAGGAACCATTGAAAATCTGTATTTTGGCTTCTGCAGGTTTTGGGCATAGAACTGAGGAAGTGTGAAATGAGGGCAATGCAGAAAAATACATCAGAGAAAGGCAGTCGCTCAGTAGGTGCCCACATTAGTGAGAGTTTCACAAATCTTTTTGTTTTCAATGTAACAGGGTTACACAGAAAAACAAGTTTATTTTCTGCAAGAAAAGGCTCAGGAGCTACACTGTATTGTCCTCGCTATGCTTTTGGAATCCTTTATATTTCCAGGCATCATCTCATTTTCTCTAACAAAATACTGAGTTGCTGATAAAGTGCCATGAAATTTAAAAAACAAAACAAAAGCAACCAACCTTTGAAAGCATTTAAATCCATGTCTTGCAGTTAAACAACCTTGGCTTTTTTTCTGGAATGGCTCCTAACTTGTGTGTTAGCATAGAATATTTTGTTCAGTTTTGTGGAGTTCTTTGAGAGCAAACTCCTGTTTTTGGTCTTTGGCTGCCTAATATTTTGGTTTAAAACTGGTTAGAGTAAATAACCCCCAAAGCCAGCAGTGGTTTGGTAAAACCTCCCTAGGGCTTTATTTAGTCCATGTGCTGCGTTTCCATTTGAATACATAAATTGTGCTGTCACTTGACTTGATCTGCAAGACCGGGGGAGAAGGAAAAGTGAGCTCTCAGCACTTCCTCCATTAAAAATGCCCTCAGCAGCACGGTGTAATTTTGGCTAGACAGCCACTTAGCTTTCAACAAGTTTGCTTTTAAGAACCTTGACAGAGGAGGCAGCTGTGCCCTCGTGTCTGTTCCTGGCGCTCCTGAAAGGTGTGTCAGGGGCTGGCAGGGGAGCAGGGCATTCCCGCTTATCCTGCCTTCCCCACCAAACAGCTCCTGGGCACGGAGGAGCCGGAGCCATTTATATTGGTTTCCCACCAGGCCTTTATGTAACCTGACAGCTCTGGCAGCAGACATGGCTTCTGCACAATCATCAATGATTGCTTCTAAAGCTTCATTAAAAGTGCAGAGCACACTGACAGTGCTCTGCTCAGATTTGAAGTGGCACAGTTTCATTTTTTCATATGTGAGCAGATACTCTGCTTTGTGCTGAGATACTTTCCATACAGCCTGTGCAATAACTTATTGGCTTCTATAGCATTCAGGGACCTTATTTTTTATGAAGCAGGATGCATTTGTAAAATGTGTGTTGCTAGTATTATTATTTTTAATTTTCTATTGGCAACTGAATTTTCTGCTGCAGAGAATAATGAAATGAGATGCATTTGCTGGATTCTAGTTTACTTTAAAAAAATCACAATGGCAATTTACATATGTTTCACCCTCACATCCAGATTTTCACTATTTACCATAACTGGATTAAATTCTAGTTATGTGCAGAACTGACTGGAAAATAAACTGGCATCCTGATTTGCATTCATTCTGCACCAGTGGTTCCCCTGTCAAATTTGTTCAGTGTGGCAGATTTGTCCAAGAGCTGGGTTTGTGTATTACCTGTTACTGCAGGCAAAAGCCTCAAGTATGTGTTGGCCCAAATCCCTGACGTGTATAAGGAATGACATGTTGCTACCCAGAGAATAGGAATACTGGAATTAAACTGCACTTAGTGCTCTGTGTGGAAGAGGGTTGGGGGGAAGGTTTGTGCCTGATAGCCACGAGCCCTCGTTTACAGAGCGTGAAAATGGCTGCTGAATGCAGGGTGACCTCAGCCTGTGATTTCCAGGTGGCTTCCTTGTAACTATTCCTGCCCTCCAAGGCAGACAGATCGGGTTTGGGGAATGCCAACCACTTGTGCTTTGTGACTCCACTGCCACTTGACCAGGCAGCAAAAGAGCAGGTACGTTAAAATCTTCCCTTCCAATTGAAAGTGTGTGATTTCAGGGAACAAACATTTTAATTTATCTGTCTTTTCATGCTGTTTCCTCCTCATGGATTTTGTTTATAGGCGTAGCTTACTATGGACAACAGCACTCAGTAGAAGTTAAGAAACAACCGCTGGTGTGTGCTTATAAAATATGCATTAATGCTCAATGTTCTATGCAAAGAAAAGATTGTCTTTCTGGACTTATTTTCCATCCTTTTTTTCTGGGTTTCATGCAAAACCTCTCCTCTCAGGCCTAATGGCAGGCTCCCATTCTGGGGTGCCTTTTATTCTTTGCTGACTCCTAAGCAGAACCCAGTTTTCCTCATGTATTGCAGAACACACTGTTTGGAGAACTTAACTCTTCAGGAGTTAAAATATTTGTTTCACCAGCCCTTGTTCACCCCGATGTAGAGAAGTTTAACTCACCCTTTACTCTGCTGTTCACTGTTACCATCCATGAGCTGTCACAATCAAACCCCCTGTTCTTATGGCCAACACTATTACCTCACCAACAGATTGCTGTTGATATTATTGCAAATTATATTTATAATAATAATTATTCCTCTTTCCATCTAATAGAGATAGGAAAGGACTCGGAGGTAGATTTAGTACATATGTTTCAGCTTGAGCTGGGTAGATTTGTGAAAAGCCAGAACTAATAAAATAGGATATAAAGCTGTGCTAACACAAATATCAAGTTTTTGAGAAGTAAGCTAAATATAAAAGTGACCTGATCCGGGCTGACCTGAAGGGGGAGATACAGGAGGTTTTGCTTCCATGCAGATTTATACAAAAGATAACACAGCAATCAAAATAGTAGCAGCAGAGAAGAGAGGTAGATGTTTAAATGGGATTTGAGTGTCCCTGGTGGCTTCAGAGGAAAGTGAAGCACTTCACTTGTATTTCAAAATATAAATAAACTTGCTGAGTGTATCACTCCTCCAACTGCTCGTTCTAAAGGCTGCAAGAGGCACGTGGGTGCTGTGCATCACATCTGCTGGCTCGGGCAACAGCATGACTGACACGTCCGTCTGTCCCTCTATCTGCCAAACAGGGTTTCTCACAGGCTCTGTAATGCATTTTGGAGGGCCGGAGCCTGTGGAAATTTATAGTGCAACTAGTGCCATGAGGTGTGCCCAGCTCTGTGCTGTGATTCCCAGGGAAGCCTTCAATGGACTTACTGAAAATTCCCTTTACTTTTGCATTATTCTCTCACTAGAGATGCTTAGTAAGTGACATGGAGATCAAGATAAGAAAAAAGAAGCGTGAGAAGTTCCCAGTATTTACCTCACAAAGTTTGTGATGGGAATGCAAGATAGTATTGAGCTATTGCCCTCTAAGGAAGAGGGTTAAAAGCGGGAAATTTATGAAGTAAACATTGGAAAATATTTAGAAGAAAGAAGGCAGATGTGCCAAGAGGCTGTTTGGGATGACAGCACTCTGCTCCATGAATTAACACTCAGCTCTTTCTATCTCACACTGCCAGTCCAGCACCCTTACTCCTTTCCCCAGTAAAAAGTTTCCAAGACCTCACACCAAGGCCACAGCTCTGCCACGTGTCTGTGGGCAGTGACATGCATCACTAGATTGGTTTGTGCTCTTGTCACATTCCTCAAGAAAATTATGGCTTTGGTACACTCAGTTATAGATTTAGTATAAACCTGCCTGTGTCATCCACTCAGGCTGCTCTGAGAGACAGGACACAACTCAGGGTTGATGCCAAATGATTGATCTCCATCTCCACAGAGCTTTCACAGGCATTAGGGACGGAGGGACCCTCATTAAATTCTAGAGGATGCCCAGGTTTTCACCTGTTCAGATGCATCTATCTTGTTGAGGGGTTGAAAATTCTTTAAATTAGTCATTCAGGAAGATCTTTCATCAAGAGGCAAAATAGACCTAAATTTACTTTAAAAGTCAGCTTGTTATGTTTTAATAACTAGGAGCTGCAAATTGTTTGCCTACAGCCCCTGAGCAGTTGCACATCTTTTTAACATGCTGTTTAATTATCATTTGTGTAGGAGCTCCTGGCCAGCTCCATGCAGATACAAAAATGGCATTAATTGTGTAGGTAGTGCATAGGCAGAGTATGATATAATTAGCAATATGAACATGTTATATTCATAAACATCCGGAAGACTCAGGTGCTGAACAAATTAGTAAAAGGTAAAAAAGCCAACCTGATAAATGGTATGGTAATGATGTTTTGATATTATCTCATGGCCAAGTGACCGCTTTAAGAGAACCTGAAGATCTCCTGAGTTCCTAATTGACAGTGACAGATTGGTACTAATTAGATAATCATGATACCAGTGGAAAATGAATTGATGGGGACACACAAAACCAGTGACATGCAAAAGGACACCAAGAAGGGCTTCCTTAAGCAGGAGGACGCTTCAGTGAGTTGAAAAAATACCTCATATTGTTCTCATTTCTGCTCTCTGGGTTTTGGTTTTGTGGCTTTTTCAAGTATATGGTAATTCTTTTATCCTTTTTATGTTTTATTTAATCTCACTGTATCAGTGTTCCAGCTGGTTTAAACAGAGAACATTCCTGTGACCTCTGTCAGAGAGAAAGTGTTTTAAATTTTCTAAACCTTTCCCATTACAAAATTTCCCTTTAAATACCTGACATATGCAGATAACCTGTACCCAGATTAGTCTGGTATCAGGGCTTTTTGTTGCTACTGCTTTTATGCAATAAGCTGTGCATAAGCAAAATTTTACTTAGTCATGAAGATCCTCTTAGATGTTTCCAGCATAGCAGAATATTGCAAAGAAATGAAACTTTAAAATTGCTCATTTCACTAGACTGTGCCTTCACTTGAGGCCAGCTACTAGAATATAACCTTCCTGGGCCTGTGCCATTGCCAAGAGGTAACTGATGTATGAATGTACCAAATAAAAACTGTTGCAAAGGTGTTCTCATGGTCTAGAAGTCTGGTCTAATTTTCTCTGGATGCAGCACAATTTCATATTTCTTTGATTATGTTTCAGTCACATGTATAAAACCAGTCCTTCAGAGCTGAAATGACTGCTGCTTTTGATTCATCACAAAGGGACACATTTTAATTCTCCAAGAAGGTTAATAGCTTCATGCATTCATTGTTTAAGTAATTCCTTAAATCCTCAATGCTTACATGAGCAACTTTACTGGCTTATACTTTCTTTTATTGAAATATATTACGGGAAATACCTCAGAGCCTACTTCATTAAGTTTCCTTGTAAAATGCTGTATGCCTCAGAAAGAAAGAATACTAATCTGTAATACTTGTTGTTAAAGGGAGACCTCAACTCTTTACTCAAAAAATTGCAGTAAATATCTCTCAACCTCATTAAATACAGCAATGGGTGCTCCTGTTCTGATGCTGCTGAAGCCACTGCAAAAAGATTTCCCTTCCTCAAGGATCAGTGTAAGACCAGGACTAGAATAAAGTTAATAAAGAAAATGTTGATTCACCGGTATTTTCCCCTCAGGTTATGATAATGTTACTCATTGCCTACGTAAAACAAAAATCCCCATAATTTCCAAGAATTAGCTTTTTTTCTTATTATTATTTTGAATATACAAAGATGGAACTGCAGCATGATGGAGCTGAGATTCAAATGGGACTCCCTGGAGTTGCATAGCTGCTTGTGAAAAGCTGTGTCATCTGAGATGGTCCTGTGGGTTCCTAATGAATACAATTGCTTTCCTTGGTGGTGCTTGGGTTTGATTCTCTTGCTACAGCTGGTTTAGTAAAATTCATTCACTGATGATGCTGGGCAATCTACCTCAGTGAAAATCTATTGATTTCCTGTAAAGTCCGTTTTTGGAAACATTCTTACACTATGTTTTTACATACGTTTGCTCATAATTTAATTGCTGTACCTTTAAGCTACCACTCATGCTGACATAGCTTAAAGAGCCATATAAAGCTGTGGAAAGGTTCTTTTGCAGAGAATTGGAGTAAAGAAGGAATTAAGGCTTTTTAAAAGCTAAATTCTTTAAGATTTGTGTCAGCTTGTTGCCTACACACTGTTGACACTTTGTCTAAACTAAGTGTTGACTTCATGTTTAAGGGTTTATGCCACTAAATTATTAGGCTCAGTAGGTCAAATGGTGCATATTCGGGAGTTTTAAAGATTTTCACATCTGAAAAAAACACACAAGGAAGAGACGCTTAATGCCTGTTTTAAAACTGTTAAACCTGTAGAAATTCCCGAAGCATAAAGTGGAAAGCATTTGCTGCTTGCTGTGCTTGGTCTGCACCAAGGGAAGCTGTGTGATGGAACATTTCCAATGAGGAAGGGAAGGAAAACAGTCTGAGCAGAGGAGAACACAGCAGTGATGGTTATTGCATGAAAGATGATTAAAGCAATTACTAATGCACTCTGTACTTAATGGATATCTGACTGTGACTGTCTCCCATTGATTCTCCCAGACAGTGGCAGTCAGAAACACTGCCAAGCACCTCCTTTTTTGTGCAATTTATTTCAATCTCGTTATTTACTTCACTTTGTAAAATATGCTTCATATTTTACTGCTCAGAGAAAATGAAGAGGGTAATAAAAAGCTGGGGGGTGAACAGCAGTGGTTTCCTCTGCTGAAGAAAGAGCTGTTGGAACTGGATATTGGACAAACCTCCTTAGCAATAAGGGCAGGTAGATCAATTTTTAAAAGGCTGGCAGTGAACACTCCATATCTCTAAATCTTGGAAGCTGGGTCTGGATGCCTTAGCTGAATATATACTCTTCTGTAGCCTAAAACTTCTTAGATGTGATGTAAGAATTACTGCAGGACATTTTCTGATCTCTCTTATATGGAAGATCAAATCTGTCGATCGCACTGATCCCTTTGGGTCTTAAAATCTTCCAGTCTATTGCAAGGAAGATTTAACTGCTGTGCTTGGGGTACAGGTCCTGAGAGCTTCACACACCTCTGCGGGTTTACCTTCAATTCCTGGAAGAAGTTGAGAATGATGTTTAGTTGCTTCCCAGCTGTATGGGTTTCGTTGAATTCATATTTTTTCATTAAAATTTCTAGGTCTGTAGTTTTTGTTTTAATTATTTGCTGTAAGACTTTATTTCAGTTCTGCATCCTCTCACCTTACAGGGTAGCAAACAAGGCCTGTGGACATTCATGCTCGACTCATTCCCAGGGATTAGGATTAAAACCAAGTGAAGTTACTTTGTTTATCCCCGTTGGGTACTACCACTAATACTCAGGTTTGTTTATTTTCTTTGTGGGGTTTTTATTTGTTTATTTGTTTGTTTTCTAGTGCCTTTAATACATCACACTTGAGCTATTGTTGAACCCCTTCACAGTTCATCAGTGCAGCACAGCTCCCTGCTGAATTGGGATGAGCTGGCTGAGTCAGCTGACAGAAGGAAGAGAGAAATCGAGTTTGGCAGCAGCACAGACTTACTTTGGCTTAAGGTGAGAATGACCTAACATTTGTCATCTGTTGTTTATTCTCTTGGCCTCTGCTGTATGAGGAGATCTAGTTGTGGATGGCTCCATTGGAGCTTTTATTGTTAGTGCCGCTGTGTATTTATGGATTTGTTTGGCACTTTGTGGGGAAGGTGGAGAGGTTTATACAATGATCCTTGGAGATGTTGTGTCTTGAGCGAGGAGAAGGTTTGCACAGGAGGAAGTGCCCAGGGAGTGCTCACTCTCTGGGCTCAGCACGGACTCTACTCATGGTCATGGGGCCAAATTCAGGTCTCAGGACAAACATCACTTTGCTGGTTTACCAGTCATATAATATGGACCAGGTCATTACAGGCCAGTGAAGTACATACACAAGCACCTTGGTGGAACTTTTTTTTTGCAGGTATTTTGTGATAAACTGGTCAGTCTGCAATACCAAACCAACAAGGGGTTAGTTCAGACCACAAGGTAAGAGAGAAACTTCTCTTGAAGAAGCAGCAGGAATTTTTTTGGTTGAAAGTACAAAACAAGATAAATACCATGTTACCTTTAGGGTCAACTGCCTCTGTGGACCCCTGTCAGGAGTGTTTCTAACATTTATGCATCCTGCACAATTTAGGATCAGAGATTTTTTTTTTTTGCTTTTTTTTCCCCTTAATCTTGCTGTTCAAAATAAACTGTAGCAAAATGGGGCAGCACTTTGATTGCTGTAATCATACCTACCACACTTAAACGTTCTGAAGTGTTCTTCATCTCCTAATTTTCAGCTATCAGTAGCGTTTAGGACCCACTTTGCTTCCTCTTGAAATCACAGCTTCTGAAACAGAGCACCATGAGAGGTTGTCAGCAGCCTTTTCAACTCTGAACTCCTGGTTTTCAGCACCTCAGGAATATTTTTTGTCTCTTCCTTTGGGGGAGAAGAGGACAGGAAGCTCTTTTGGATCATGATGGCTCCTTGTTCTTTCCTGATTATGGTAAAATTTCAAGGATAACATTTAGAAAAACGCCCTAGAAAATTATTGTGCTGCTTCCTTTTCTAGTTTAATGGGCACTAACTACTAATTGCCTTTGTAAAACCTAACCTAAACTATTTTTTTTCTCTTCTCCTTTATTTTATCAACAAATTTAATTAAACTGACCACAAAAGAACCCAGGAATATGAATGCCAAATATATTGGATTTGTTGACAGATATGAATGTGTTAATTAGCCTTCAATTCAGCCACATTAAAAAAATGAAGTCTTTAGTACACATGTCTGGTTTTTTTATTAAAACTAAGGAATTAGAAAAATAAAAAGTGTCAAAGAATAGATAATAAAACTTTCAGCATATTGAGACAATATTGGTAAATCTTACTGATATGCTGTTTATAAAAAAAGGAAATATAGTGCTGAAATTCTAATGAGAATCTGCACTGTTGACTCTCCTTCTAGCTGTGGGAACAAAGCAATTTATACTCTTTTCTGGAGCTATTAAAATAGTTTCTTTTCTGTTGTATGGTTTTGCACTTGTGGTTTTTTTTCAAGTTCTGCTCCTGTGGGTCTGCTTTCTCCTTGTTTCTTATTGGAGTGATGAGGATCATTTGAGTCAAACCCATTAACTTTCACATGGTTTTCAATCAAGACCTTTGCAAAATGCCCAATTTCACAATGGCTTTAATGGAAAATATAGATTGCTTCATATTTGATTTAGACCTCACCCCTCTGCTTGTTTTCTGTTTTTTCCTCTCAGGCTATGCAGCTTTGCATGATTTTTCTCAGTCTTTTCTTGGTATAAGCATGTATGTTGGACAATTGCTCTGCTTCTAATTATTTTTGCACTGCACTGAAAGTCATTAATGTTATTTGTAGTGATGCGCTTGCAGTTGATATCCTGGAAATTAAAACATTCAGTGGGAAATCCCGGCTCTGCTGGAGTTAAGGAAAAATCCCCATTGAGTGAACATTTTTTCCCATCTGTCTAGGCATCCAGGTCTAAATATAATTAGACCCTGATTTGTCTCCACCTCATCTTTAATAGAGATATTAACAATCTTTAATAGAAATAGTAACTGTAGTTGTTATAGCTGATACATTACAAACTGTTAGTTTACTCTTTCCAGGGAAATTCTCCGATGTGGGATTCTCTCCTGAGCCAGTCCAATTGAAGTGGAAGTGACAGCCCTGCCTGGTGATCTTATTTAAGGAATTGGGATGTCCTTTCTCGCTGGTGTCAGAGCCAATTTCTGCCAAGGCAGTAAGAGCACCTGCAGCCAGGAGAGTTTGATAGGGCCTGGCTTTCCTTAAAAGCATTTCTCAGGGTTATTACTGTCTTTTACTATTGAGTGCATTCTGAAAATATACTTTTCTGGAGTATCCAGACACTGCAATATTTACCTAACTATTAAACTGAGAGTATACAATATATGAGCAAGTGAGAGTGTGTTTTTGACGGATAAAGTGGGCTTTTACTGCAGAAGAGGTAATTTCTACTTGTGTCTCTTAAAGGTGTTGTCACTGCCTGAAAGAAAGAATAAACAGAATAAACAGACAGGGAAGTGGCTCTATAGCTATGATTTTTCTTCTGAAGTGATTTTGTTGTTCTTTTGGGCTGCAGGTAGAAGAAAATGTTTGCTCTTTCCAAGTGACCTAAAAGCATCTGGAAAAGTGAAGGTAATGGACTCCAGACAGAGTTTTTTTCAAAGGCTTATACTGAATATGACAAATATTTGTGATTGCATCACTCAGGCCTTATGGAAAAATGGAAACTCTATTTAATTTGTGTGATAGTTTTGCTCTCAGAGCTCTATTTCCACGGAGCCCTAACACAGTAATGGGCAGGGCTGGTGATGGGAGTGATTCCTCTCACCCATCATGAGTTTTTGGAATGTAGTATTTGTGTGTAATTTATAAAAGTATGGTTTTCACTCACTAAAGGTGTGTCTTCCAGCTTCAACAGGTCTAATATACAACTACACTCCTCAGCCTGCCTAAAATCAAACAAACAGAGTTTGCTCATTGCATAGATTCAAAACAAGGGGAACAGGAATTATTGTCTAAATATAAAAGAATTAAAGAATTAAAAAAAACAAAATAATAAATAAGGAGAGAGAAAAAGAATCTTAATATGGCCCAGGGGTCCTTCTTAATTTACAGAAGGCTTCTTCCATAGGCTCTTTTTGTGATGCTTTTCCTTCATTTTGACCTTCTAAATTGTGGCCCGAGAGCATCCTGAGTGCACAATGGATAAAGTCACGCTCAGAGGAATGGTAGCTGGACACAGCCTCAGTAGGAAAGCCCTTTTTCACTCACTTCCCAGTTTGTACTGGATGTCTTAAGAACCTGATAGGGATTTCTTTTTTTTTTTTTTTCCCCAGTCATACCACGTTTCAAAAAGGCCAGCTTGGTTTCTTGGGTTTTCATAAACGTGGGTTGTCGGGTTTGTTGCTTTTTTTTCATTTCCCCAGTGAAAATCTGATGTCACAAATGCATTCGGAGCGTACACAAACCCTGAGAGAAAAGAGCAGATTTGTTTATTGAAAATCATCACCGTGTTACTTTTTGTGGCAGGGAAAGTGTAAAGGCAGAAAATTATTCAAACCCCGTGTGTCCTGACTGCAAAGTGAATTTGTAGGAATCCAGAGCATAATAAGCCAATCGACTGGCTAGACAGTATTTTTAGTCTATTGCTGGTTTATTTCATTATTTTCATTTAATCCCATTTCCAAGTCTCTCCAGCCTCTCAAAGTGAGCATATGGGCAGTATACAGATATCACAACTATGTCTTAATATCCAGCTGCTATTTGTGTGCAAATGGGGACTGGCTGCATGGCTGCCTGGAGTACCCTGAGCGAACCTGCTGCTTCCAGAGAAATATTGCAGAATAATTTTAGTCAATCGCCTTTTAATTGGGATAGTTGCTGATCCCTAACGTAGATTGTTGAGAAGTCACAATAGCAGAGAGAAAGCAGATTGAATTAATGGAAGTATGGAAACTGTTTAGAGGGGAGGAAAGGGAGCTCACACTTTCTTCTCTGCCTTTACAGATAGAGGATTGGGGTCACAAAAACTCCATGTGGGTTTAGCATCCTTGAAAACGCCAGGAACAGAGTAATTGGATGACTGGTACAGGCTGTGGATGCAGCTCTTTCATCACTGCCCCCAGTGAATGGAATTCTTTCCCTTCTACATTTAAATCTAACACAAACCTTCAGGTTTCGCTGTGGATGGTTTCACCTCTGAGCTGAGCAGCAGCCTGAGAGGTAAGGCTTGGATAATTGGAGCAAATCATTCAAAACCCTTTTCAGAGCAGTGCATTATGCATGCACCGGTTTTAAAAATGGACAATTATAAAGACACATCTCTTAAAAAGTGCTTTTGTAGTGAGTAAAACAAAGTGATTTCTTCATTCTCCTTGTGCAAAAGGGGTGGCTACAAAGCATGTGCATAGATTTCTGGAGATAGAATACAAAGGGGATGATAATGATAACCTTTTTCTGTTGCCAGAGAGTCTGCACAAAGATTCCGTCAGCATTTTGCACAGTATGATAAAAAATGTGTTAATTCCTCAGCATCAATGGAGGTTCAAAGTGAAACAGAATCAAGCAGAATAAGGTGCCCATAAAGAAAAGAAATAGCTAAATGATATTAAGGAAGCCAAGATAACTGAAAAAATTAACAGCACAATAGCTTATAGAGTCTGCTTCTGCTAACAAAAGGCAGTCTTTAGTGCCCAGTATCTCCATTCAGCCTGAAAAAGAAAGGTAGTTACATTCTGGAATGAACAAAATAGGAAAGGCAAGATGCAGTCAGGGACTTATTCTCGACTCCAAACTGCCTTGGGCATCATTCCACATCGTGGTGTTGGCAGAGAGAGGAAGTCTCTCTTTTTATTGAGAGGTCAGAGTTCAAGTATCTTAACTTCAAATTTTAAATTATCAATGTAAAATCATGCTTTTCCTGTTTTGTTCATCTGTTGCTTCTCCATGGGAATCATATTTTGGAGACTTTTTCCCATGGAAGACTCCTGCTTTGTATTTGTGGTTGAAACCAGCTGAGACAAAAGTATTTTGGGGGTTGCTTTTCGTTATTTTGCTGTTTACAGCTACAAATTTGTCTTCAAAAGCAAAGGTCAGAGGGTTGTATTAATTAGAAATACTTCAAAAACTTGTATCTCTGAGCTCTTCAAGAGCCAGAATAATAAAGAACAGAATCGAAGAAAAGAAGGTGAAGGGAAGATGAGAAAAAATTTAATATACTTTTTTAGACTTATTCTGTTATGTACAGAGAAGCTTTAAATCAAGCAAATTAAACCTTAACATGGTTCACCTTTGGGCACAGGGCATAAGAGAGAGACACCTCCTGAGGTCACTGCGCTACTGCAGCAGCCCGGTAAGAGCCAAAGTAATTTTGTTTAAATTCAAAACATGTTCCAGCAACACATGCCCATCTGCCACCCCTCTGGCTGAGAGTCAGGTCTGCAAAAGTAGTATAAAGATGCAACTCCTTGCTTCTTGTCTGATTTTTTTTTGCCCCTTCAGGTACCTCTAAGAGCTTTTCAGCTGCCTGGATTAAGTTCTCCAACAACACGAGAAAATAGGTAATGAATGCAGGGGGACAGAGAGGCAGATTAAAAGAAAGAGGGGAAAAGGCAGCAGTTTGTTGTTGGAGAATAGATGGAGATGGATGGAGGCTCTTGTGGAAGGGCCTGGGGAAGGAGGAGGATGTCACTGAGCTCAGGGTTGAAAGACACTAATACTGATTATTTTTTCAATATAGAATTAGAGACAGTTAAATATTCTGATGGACCTTCAAATGTTTTTGGCAGTTCTGCAGTGTTTGCATCTGTCATGAAAATAACCATTCATTCCTGGGAATTGGTAAATGTGCCAAAAAAAGAGGCAGTCTCCTTCATTTATCCTTGTTTTGTGCTTATTGTAACTCATGTTACAACATGATGAATTAATTGTGTCTTACAATGCTACAGGTTGACTGCATCAAATTGGATGAGTGTAAAATATCTCAGTGCAGTAATTACCATATGCTTCAACAAGGCTTTTCTGCATATGACATGATGTATGTATGGTCATAAGTAAAGAAGAAAAAAGAATACTAACACATGACTTTTTTAAGGAGAAAAACTTACATGGGAAGCAGAATAACAGTTCTGATGGGCAGGGAAAATATGGGACAAAAAATATAGAGTCAGAAGTCAGTGTTGGGAAGGGAGAGAGGCGGAGAGGATGTAGCAAAGGCCTTGCAGATGTTGACTAATGGATGTTTCAAATTGAACCAGGTTTTATCTCCCAGAAGAAAGAAGCAAGTGTAGGTGTAAATATGCAATTTTAGAATTTGAAGCAATTAGATTTTTAAGTTAAAACTGAATGATATCGCTGTGGAACATTTAGCAGGAACTGGTGTGCATGCAAACTCAGCCTTGCATGGACAGAAAAAGATAGAATAAGAGGAATAAAGAAGATTGTCTTTTTTAAGCATTTGGGTTGCACTTTGTGGTGTTGGAGAATACAAATAAAGAAGGGATTTCAAAGAACCATTATGATTAAATGAATGAAAATAGTATGGTAGGATTCTGATTTGCAGCTTAAATAATTTTAAAACTCAAAAAAGAAACATGAAACTGTGAAGGCGGGGGAGGTTGTTTGTAGGGGTTTTTTGTTTGGTTTAGAAAGGATACTTTTTTCCCACAGTTTGGGCTACAGATGGGTCTCATGGGATTTGCTTTCCAACATAAGGGAGATATTCAGGCTTTCAGATTTCATTACCACTTTCTTCATTATTGTGCCTTGAGGAGCTATAAATAACACATGGCTAATTTGTGAATATGGCACATTCCAGGGGATGTGTGTATTTTAATCAGGGCACCTTCTGACATTTGGTAATTGGTTTACAAATTTGTTATATAATTTCATGAGTATTAAGTTGCTAGGAGGAAAAAAAAAATCTAAATTTATGTGGTCTAAAATCTGCCCTCATTGGACCCCCACAGCAGCTGGTGCTCCTGCTAGGTCTAACTGAGGAGAGATTTTGAGTCAACAAGTACATAAACTGGCACCATTTCTTTATTTCTTATAGTTTTAGTAAAGTAATTAGTAGCTACATTCTTCATTACAACCTTTTTTTAATTAAAGCTTTTTTATGTGTGTGTGCATATATCAGTAGACTGCTTTTAAGATGCAGGTAAGTTTTGTCTGGTGAGAAATTGGGTTTTGTGTTAGCAGGTGCATGTTTGTTATTGGGGTATTTTTTTTAGGCCTGTTTGTAGGAACAAGTGTCACCAGTGTCCAAATTGTGAGCTTGGATGCTGCCAAAGTCAGTTCTGAGGCTGTTTTGTGTAATACTGTTCTCCTGCAGCCGGGACATTCAGTCCCTGGAAATGGGCTGGCTTATGTCTGAAATAATAGACATATGACATGGATTAATATGGAATATTATCGCTCATTTTTTGTATTATTGCAATCAAAAGTACAGACACACTGAAAAATCATCTCATTTAAAATCTTTATTATTGACTATTAGTTTTCTCTTTTGCACAAAAGAGGACATACTTGACTGCGTTTCCAAAGTTTCCTTACTTCTCTGGCTATACTTATTGCCACACAGCATTTAGTATGTTAATTAACTGCTAACAAATGAACATTTCAGCTATAGACTACAGTGCTGTGCTTGTTCATTTATATTATTACTCATTCGATAAAGGCAATATGTGCCAAACAGCAGGATCCGATGGGAACATCTGCTAGTGAGCAGCCACAGGCAGGAGAGCAGCTCACAGGAAAAAATCCACGCCAGTAATTTACTGAACTTTAATTTTACTTCCTCATTTTGGGGCAGGCTGTGGGTCATTCAGCCATTTTGTGACAGGCCATGGGGTCGGTCACTGCCATTTTGGGTAAGGGCATGGGAGGGGAGGGGCTGTCCGCCATTTTGGGTAAGGGTGTGGGGTCAGTCCACCATTTTGTGACAGGCCATGGGTCACTCCGCCATTTTGTGACAGTCCATGAGCCCAGTCCACCATTTTGTGTCAGGCCCCGGGTCGGTCACCACCATTTTGAGACAGGCCATGGGGGTAGTCTGCCATGTTGTGATGAGCCATGGGACAGTCTGCCATTTTGGGGCAGTCAGTGAGGTCAGTCCACCATTTTGTGACAGGCCATGGGGTCACTCCCCCATTTTGTGACAACCCATGGGGTCGACTGCTGCCCTTCCAGTGTGGACCAAAGCCTGACTAAAGCTCAAGCGGATGGGGGTGGAGCAATAGCCATCCCATCTACACAGTTTGCCCAGTTCCCCTCTACGTCCCACCTCATTGTTTTGAGCCAGTCAAGCATTCCTCCAGTCTCCTACAGTTGTGGTGCAGGAAGCCACTCACAGATAGGTGATTTAAACGTCTGGACTGGCAGGGAACTCCACTCGTTCTGTCTCCCCGTGTCCCACTAATTTAGGGCAGAACTGATTTAAAGCATAGCTACAAAACATATTGAGGTGTCTCATAAGAGTTAGAACATCCCAGAAATGCTTCTCTGGCTTCCTTTGGCACTGAACCCATGTTTTTGCTTCCAGAGTAATCTAAAACGTTATTTACAAGTGTGTTGTAAATCAGCCCCCTTAAGTCTTTGGGCTTGAATCCTGGCTTGTTAGCAGCAACTAATGTGGCCTAGAAACTGAAACAAGGTTCACAAGCTCTTGGAAGCGGCATAGGAATATGCGGGCACTAGGGATTTGTACCCTCCATGTCGTGAGCTGTGGGTAACTGATAAGATCAGACAGTTGAGGGGGAAAAGAAGATCAGCCCTGAACTGGAATTCTGAGAACTTCAATGCTTGTATTATATTTTTCAAGTTCTTCTACACATAACCAATGCAATATTAGCATTTTTAGAGGGATGATGAGTAAAAAAAGTAGCGTAAGAGTCCACTAAAAACCTTTGTGATCTCTTCTCCCTAATTTTACTCCATTTCTGTTGCAGCAAGGATCCCATCAGCCCAAGCCACAGCACCGGCTGTGAAGGTGAAATTTGTCTGGCCAGCCAAGTGTCCCTGCTGCCCATGCACAGCTGCAGACAGGGCACTTGCTGCCCCATATGCCGAGGAGCACAGTGGCCTGTGGCATGTTTTAACATTAAAAATGCCAAGCACCTGTGACAGGTTTTGGCATCTGTCACTGCAGCATGACTTGAGGCAGCTTGGGCTGCACGAGGCTGGCTCAGACCAGGCAAGGTACCAAAACTTTTGCCTTTCTGTTCCAGAGCTTCACCTCTGCTGGCGTATGGAAAACCTGCTGAGGCTCCAGGTGCTGTGGAGCTTGTATTTGCCTTCTGCAAAGTGCTTCTGGAATTTTAGGACTACATCAATGTGTCCCTCTGCCACTGCACCAGGAGGAGTGATGAGGGTGCCTGAAACACTCGTGGTGCTGCAGGGACAAGGACACAGGAGGGCCACACTCAGAAACCAGGATGAGAGTCCCCACAAGGAAGGTGAGTGACTGCACTACCATGCCATATTGCCCTAGAAAAGTCACAATTACTTTCATGGTTCTTGGTGGAGATTCTTGTGTGTGGCTGGAGCCTGAGGCTTGAAAACAAATAGGAAATGGGTATTTCTGCGGAGTCTGGTGAATAACAGCTCCTGTGTTCCTGCTGAGCCAAAGTCCTGGCTTCTCCTGTTGAATTCTGGAGCCAGCCCCTATTCCCTTGGACTCAAGTGTGGTACAGCCTTGCCAGCAGCCCTGGTGGTGCTCTTTGTCAGGGATCTGGATGGGTTTTCCTTATTTTTTAATTTTTATTTCTTTTTTTGTGTGTGTGTACATCACAAGGCTGCTTAAACAAATTACTTTTGAGGATTATAATCTTCCTGACAAGAATTGCTTCTCTGTAGCGTATCTTAGACAACTCATTTAAGAAACTATAGTAATTTCTTACTTGTAAGAAGCAGTGTGTCCTCTCTTTGTTAGCTGTGCTCTTTATTAGCTCGAGTTTCATACAGACTCCCTTCAGTCTGGGTTTTTCTTGAGAAAAAGGCAATATTGATAATAGTGGTTTGCAAATAGGTTTTGTCAGTTTGTGTGATCTTTAAGGTTGTCCAGGCAGCCACTGGTGGGTTTTACTGGGCTAGATTCAGCTATGCAATACTGTAACTTCAAATATTGTGATTTTTTTAGTGTATATGACCATAAAATAATCTACTTTATGGGAAAGTCTCTAAGGAAGATCTTTGATGCTTTCATTCAAAGCACAGCTCTTCCAGAAGGTGAGCATTAACAAGATGGTGGTGTCACATTTTCATGACAAGGTTCTGACTGAGCAGATCATTAGAGAGAAAAGTATCAAAGCCACTTCCACACGTTACATTTTGGGTGGACATGAGTGTGTCACTGGCAAAAAAGCTTGAGTAGTGAACTTCACAGGAGGGGAAGCTCACTCCTCCTGCCTTTCTCTCCTTTGCAATTTCCTTTCTGTGAGTCACAAACTTCTGGAATTTCAAAGGCCTTATGTTTTAATCCAAGTGCAAGGGCTGATATAACTACGATAGGAGACTTAGACATCAGAAAAGTTGTTGGGTCTCCTTCATCACTAGTGGACAAAACCCAAATACCATGTTAAATCAGAAAGTGTTTATTTCTTACTGTCTCTACAGTAATCTCCTTGGTCTGAAATTGCCTTTTTTTTTTAGTAAGGGTTACTTATCTAACAAAAGACTGAATAAATTCACTAGGCGCAGAACAAAAATTTCTAGCCAGTACAGTAAACCGGGAAGTTTTACTTTCTAAATTTTACTAAATTAGATTTCTAATTAATTTAATTCTAATTTATTAATTTAACTCAAATGTTTAAATTTTACTAAATTGGAAAGCTAATTTATCACGTAAACCTATAGTCTTTCTCTGCCCTGTATCTACTCGTAGGACATTTGGTGCTTTCTTCCAGGGGTATGGAATACATAACCTAGAGCCCAGTGGCACAGGGAGCTGTTAGATCATGATCTCGGGGTCTGCTGCAGGCAAGAAAGGCCCTTCCATTGCTTGCTAAGGTCTATTGGATGTGTTGGATTGCCATTAATCATGTTCATCTCTGAGTGGGGACCACCTCCTGTATATCTCCAGGAAAGCGAGCAAGAGCCGCGGCGAAGTTGTGTTGTACAACAGGACTGTAAGACGTGTAGCCAAAGTGCTTCTCAAACTTTTTACAGATACTCCAGCACATTTGGAGCATTTGACAGAAAAGAATAGGCAAGGGCAACAGTGATTGATCCATGTTTTTAAGAAAAAAATTGGAGCCATATTTCCACCGGGGGCTTCAGAGGGACATTGATATATTTATCGCGAAAGAGCTGACGAGCGCCAGCCTTTGCATCACTAAAAATGTAGCCTGCTGCAAGAATTTACAGCTGGAAGGGAAGATTCATGGCCCCTCTCTTTATTTATTGGAAAAATCTCTCGCAGCTGAGTAAAGACATAAATATAAAATTAAATCACAAAAACTACTCTCAAGTAGCGCTAAGGTTACTTCTTGAACCTACAGGGCCAGGACAACATAAAACTAATGTTGAAACACAATTGAGATGAACAGTATTTACTCATTCATTATGACAAACACCACTTTACAGCTAATATGTAAAATCACAGATTATTTGAGAGTATTTGCTATATTCTTGTATGCAATGCTTAACAGGAGGACTCAAGGACAGCACGTTAGATAAAGGTACATCCATGAATTTCTGTCCTTATGATTTATAGCTTTCATGTCACAGTAAAATTATTTTTATAGTTCATTTTACCAGTGCATGGTGCAAGAGAACTTTATATGCTTTTGAAAAATAGCTTCATAAACAACAGCAGTCTTTGATAGAAGTTCTTTGAGTGCATAGATATGGGTGTGAATGCGTGGATTAGGTTAATATTATTTGTCCTTTTTAGGTCACTGCAGATATTTTAAGTGGCCCCAGCTCCATAGGCCAAGGAGTGTAGGAGACAGAGCAGGTTCCTCCCTTTAGCACCCAGGAGAAAGGGGGTAAAAGACAACCCACCCCCAAGAACAATTAGTGTTAATGTGTTATTTTGGGTAAGACAGTCCATAGTCTCTACATAGTGAGTTTTCATCTCTAGATCTTCCAGCTCTTTATCTCAATTTTGCAGGTTGCAAAACTGATTAATTACACTAGCAACATCAGTATAATTAGTGCTGATTATTCTCCGAGCTTTTTCTACTTTAATCATCTGTTTAATTTGAACTAAATCCCTATTTATCAAATAGTGTAGGTTTTAGCATCAGAAAACAGTGGATTTTGCTTAAGTCTTTCCACCTTGAACTCAGGCATTGTTATAAAAGCTTTGGGAATACTTCAGTGGGATTATACCGATTATAACTAGATCAGGATTTGGCATTTTTTAAATATGTGGTCATCTGTCAAATGTTTTGATGGTATAGCTAGCACTTTGTTTAAAAATCCAGGAAAAAGAGATAAAAAATAACATCCTGGAGACTCTCATAAATTCCCTGCCATATTTACACCGTTACTCCATAACAGAATCTATGTTAAACCATGAGAGAGAATAGTTTGTTGGCCAACCCGGAGAAGTTTGAATTGTCTTTAATCAAGAGCTGTCAGGATAAAAGAAAATGCGTGGAAGCAATATGTGGCTGTTTTTCAAAACATAAATGAAACAAACTCTGAAGAAATAAGGACTGTACAGCACTTGTACATGATGTGCTCTTTGTATTATCAAAGCCTGCTTTATGTTGACATATTGTACCATGACAGGAGAAAAGAAAAAAATAAGTAAAACTTACAGCTGGGGTGGAATGATGTAAGAGAGGGAAGCAATACTTGCTTCACCTCAAATCTTTCAGTAGGTCTGGAGCTGATAGTTCTTCTCCTTCATTAACACCTCTCTGTTGGGGCTTCTCTCTCCTTTCCTGCCCCCCCTAAACCACTGTAAAAATAATTACTAATGATGATGAATAGGTCTTTTCTATTTCCAGTTTCCTCTATACGAAAATCTTTCTCTTTATCATTCTCTAACTACTTGAAAAGTCAGTGTAATTCTCTGTAATTCATGAGCTCAGGGCATTTTGCCCATCAGGATCTTTTTTTTTCCATCATTTTGGTAGCTGCAGCACCTCTTCTCAAAGTGAAAAGAAGCATAAGGGAAAAAGGTCACCTCTTGGTCCTATCCTAAACCCCTGCTTAGGTAAGAGACTTGCAGCACATCTTCTGTAATGGTTTGTCATACTTAATTGGAACAGGAAATATTGGGGCTGTGCCAGGCATATTTCTGTTTGGTTAAGTTATTCCCATGATTCTACCGCTAAAGATGTGCTTAATCTTTCCTCTGTTTAAAAAAGAAATAATTTTTTACATGGTGACTCATTTCCTTGTTTTAGCATTACCATATGCTGTTTATTGCTTATTTAAATTACATTAATGTAAAACGTTGAAGTTTGATTTCAGTGACATTATTGAGTGGGGGGTGGTGCATCAATTGTAATATGTGATGTTTAACTGCACTCACTGCAGATTTAGCATGTATTAACTTTTATTAGAGGTGAAATACTTGCCTGGTGAACAAGTTTATGGTGAAAAGGAAGTGCTCATTTTCCAGTCATGATCTTGTGCTCTTTCTAATTTTCCATGACTCTAAAACTTCGTTCTTTCTTTGGTGTAAGCGCAGACTAAAAACCCAAGCAGCTTCTGCTGTGATTCTTTCCCATTGCAGTCCTGATTCTGAAGTTCAAGTTCAGTTTTCAGACTAATGATCTCTCATCAGGTCACTGCAGAGAACACAGAAAACAATGAGAGAGGAAAACAAAGAGGAGATTGTACATATGTAGCTTTTTTTTTCCTCTCTTGACCTTCCATATCTAAGATGTTGGTGTATTTTAAAGGACAAGTTGCAGGAGGCACCTAAAATGACATTATATATTCTATTAGCCTTTAATGTAATTTTTCTAATATTTCTAACCTTTCCAATTGCAGTAAATCTACCTGAGTTTTGTTGTGTTTTGGTTTTTTTTTTTATTAAATTGTAAGTACAACCATATTAACCTCTTTGGTTCTATTTGTTGTTCCTACAAATGCCCTTTCATGGTTGCCTGTTTTTACTTCTTCCCACAGCTGGCAGCTCATGAAACATAGGCAATGCCCTCCATAGGGAGTCTTAAAACACAAATATACTGGTTTTTAACAGGGTGTTCTTCAGCATCAGCTGTGAAGTGGAAGCACAGGAGGAAGAAAAACAGTGATATTAATCTATCAGCCTAGGAAAGGCAAAAATAAGAAAAGTATTGATTTTTTTTAACATCATTAGGATCAGCAATGCATCACTTCCTTGTGAGAAATGACCCATCCTCCTCCTTTCCAGTGCTGTTGCTTTTGTAATGAGTTTTTATTAGGTAGCTTATTTTCTGTAAATTATAGCCCAGACTTCTCAACAGACATCAAACCATCTTCTCAGTAAGAATACTTGTTAAATTATTTATTTCTACTTGGAAAAAATGCACTTCCCAGTAAAGTAAAAGTTGTCAAATAGAATTGTGGGTATAAAAATGTTAATTGCAATCCTTAGTTAGGTTTTCTTCCTTGTCATACAGAGAGTTTAACTTAAACTTATTCTTAAATTTTTCCCATTTGGGACTTAATGCCAAAGTCCATTGGTGAGGTAGTAAAGCCATTTTATTGAGTTTAATTCTATCTCTGAGGATTTCATTGGAAGGGAATTTTTTTTCTGTTTGTATTTTCATCAAAAAGATCTCATCAGTTCATATTAAATATAGATATATTTTAAGAGAATAAACCCTTTTAGTTAAATGCCTTAAAGATTTGTTTAACCAGTCTGTGTTACACGATTAGGAGACCTTCTGCCCTTATCCTGCCTAAAATGACTTGGACATTGGTGTTTACATTTAATATCTTTGGCTATTTTTGGTGAAAAAATATGGTCAAATATTGGACTGAACCTCCATTTTCTAGTCCTTTTTGGATAGAGCAGTGTGAACTGTTCTGCTCAAAATACTAACATTAACAATGGCCAAGGAAAGGACAACTTCTGAAAGAAGGACATCAGATGGATTTATTTTCAGCCTGGAGCTTTGAAACCATTTTTACTGTTCTCCAAATAATTCTGACATTATGTGTAAAAAGAATCACAAAGCATGCCGTGTTTTATCAAAGCTGCAGGATCTTTTTATTATATTAATGCACTGTTTAATGAGAGAACACTGAAATAGGATCAGTCCCATTAATTTTTAAAGCTGTATTCTATACATTGTCATTTTTTGAAGAGAAGTGAAAAAGGTTTGTAGCTCATCTTTCACCTGTACACCAGATCCCTTCTTATGGTTAGTTCTGGTATAAATGACAAAAGGTTTGGGGTCTTCTAGGGATCTGTTTCAACTGACTATTCGATACACGCTGATTACAAGGACTATTTGGAATTACTTGTAAACCCATCACCTTCTCTCAATGACTTATAACTTGGTATTTTAGTTGTTTTTATTATCTGTGCAAAGAGAATCATACAAATGATGAGCTCAGCTTTGATCCACATTTGCTATGGCATCACAATCTACTTCCCTGAAGCTACTGAAAATATGTTTATTCTTTAGCAGAGTCGAGAAACCAAAACTCTCTGAATAACAGGCACAGTTTTCTTTCTACCTCTGCCCTGGGCTCAGATCTTTTGCACTGTTTTAATGTTTTATGGTGGTTTAATGTTTTATGGTGTTGAAACAATTTTTTTATCTGATGGGATTCCTGTAGGATATCCTGAAGGATAATAATTAGGCTGGATATTTCAATCCCAATACTGGAAGGCTAAAGAAGAAGATAAAAGGATGCAATTACTGAGCAAGTGTGTACATCCTGGGCAAGGTTTCCTGATGATTCCAGTAGCATGGTAGGATTTAAGGGCCCATAGAGGAAAAACTGAAGCATGCCACTTAACCCTTATTCCAGGTGTCTGTAGGATCTTGGCACGGCTTTAATGTTTTTGTTGAACCCAGACCATAACTGTGACATAGGGAATTGCTGCTGCTGAATTGTCATATCAGCCAGAGGGTGTCAAAAAGGGACATTGAAAAGACACAGTGCCCTTGGAGTACATGAGCCAAGATAGCACAAGTTTATTAAATGAATGACCTATAATATTTCGTGTAACAAACACAGTTTTGTGCAATTAGAATGTCCCAGCCTCTATGTCCTCACTACTAAGAGGCCAAGAAATAATTACAGCTGACCAAAAAATTCTCAATATGAGAGAAATTGTTGGATTTGTATATTTGGGCCCTAATCCAGTGACCTCTCTTATCAGGTGTAGAAACAGTCATGCAATCAAATTTTTTAGTCCTGTCCTGTCCTTTTCTCTCCTCTGTCCTGTCTTTTCCTGTCCTTACTGGAGTAACTGTCACTTTAAACAGTGCCTATGTGGCTTTGATCCTAAGGATCATTCATGCCTGAGAGCCAGAGAGGGAAGAGTTCAAGACTTGAATGAAGTCATGAGTAAACAACTGTGCAGGAGAACACTCTGTCGTGATTTTAAAAGAAAACAGGATTGTTGAACATGAACTTTACAGAATGGACATGGAGGATCAGATTAAGGGGAAGTAATCTCCAGCTACAAAGGGCAGTGCAGCCCAAAGGGTGACCCCTGCCCATGGCTGAGGGAGGGCTCAGACAGGAGCTTGGTAGCAAGTAAAGTGGGGAGAATGTGATGCCAGAAGATTAGAAAGGTCAAGATAATACATAACTTCAGTTCGTGGCTGTTTATGCTGAAAGTACCACGACCAGGGATATTCACAGTGTGGATTTGTGTGCAGCCCTTGGGACAAATGGAGATTTACCAGGTTGCTCTGCCTCACCAGATGGTTGGTCCTCATTCAGCTTTCCAGGATGGCTCCAAGCTCATGTCCAAGGGCTGGAATACTGTCCACTGCAATCTGATAGGACAGGAATAGCCAAAAAATCATCCCTCTTACCTCCTTGTGGTCAGTATCCACTGATCCCCCTAACAAACAAGGCAGGGTAGGGCCTCATCCACACAGGCTGTGCTGCCAGCTCTGCCACTGGGAATTTTCCTGCAATATGTCATAGTTCTTCACTTCAAAGTAAACATAATGCAGTGCATCTGCTGTGCTGCTCTGTAGTTTTGGCTTGCACCACATATTTTTATATCCCATCCTACCCTGGTAAAAAAGGTATGGATGCGCAAAGAAAGCGACATATGCGCTTTTAAATAGGAGTTGTTAAAATTAGAAACTATAAATAATCATAGTTGCTTCTACTTCACAGACATTTGTAACAACTATTTTCAGTGTGTTCCTTATTACATTTAGAAATTTTCTGGGTTTGTGTCTTTCTTTTCCCCCCCCTCTATTTTGTATGCCACAAAGCAACAAACGCTCCCTCTCTCACTTGCCATTTATCTTTTTCTCTTTCTTTTTCTTATGGGATAGAAGAGAAAATGGAGAAAAGAAATATGAAAAGCATAACATCCTTTGAACATCATGCATTCCATTAAACCCACTAGAACAAAACCGGGGGAAAAATGTGAAAATTTGTCAGTTCTGAGCTATCACACAGTCTTCCTTTTTGAATTAAAAGACATACATAGACCTACTATCTCTTCTTTTAGCAAAGCTGAATCTTAACAGAATGTGTTTGGAACCATTAAGTTTCAGAGAAATCTACAGATTTCAAAGCCCTCATCTTTCAGGGTTTTGTGCCTGAACCCATTACAGAGTTTGCTCTTATTTTTGCAAAAGCACTACAGAAATTTTAAATTATAAGCTCAGTGATTTGGATCCTGATCTTTTTCATTCAAACAGCATCAATTGCTTCAAGTCTCTGAACCTGACAGAACAACGGAGTCATTTATTTCTAACCATAGATAGGGAAGAGCTGGTTTTTAACATTTCTATTTTCTTGTCCACGAGGCATGTAAAATCAACACATCTGTAGGAATGCAAATAGCTTACATGTGAGGACAAGCTGAAATTTAGCTTTCTCAAGCAGATTATATTTATTCATCAGCATTCACACATTGTCTTGCCAACACATGTGGGCACTTCTATTTTTGAAAAGCTTCCTTTATCATTTGTTCAATGTTTGAGGCTGAACTGTTTTTTCTCAAAAAATTGTTTCTTAGATTGACAGATCCTTGTGATAACAAAAAAAAAATCAACAAAAACCCTCACCCACCTTTCTGTGCCTGCTGTGCAAGGAGCCACCTGTCTGAAAACAGGCCTAGAACCAGCAGAGGGGTAGATTTCAAATATTCAATAGTATATATAGGTCTTTACATATTGAAGTTGCATATAGAGTATATTAGAAATTAACATTCAAAGTTTTCTGTTTAGGAAAAATTATATAGTTATTCAACAGATACGTTTGGTTCCCTGTTGGTTTTATAATTAGCTGGTTCATTCCTGGGAATAATTCCCTCTCCTTTTTTTTCAGAAGTTCGTATATCTTCTTTAATCAGCCAAAGCACACATTTGTCTTACAGACAAATGCATTATATGCTACATATTTCATCACTGAGTGGCTGCCAGAAATGGATTTCCATATCTAGTATTCATGAATCAGCAGAACACCACTATAAATCTTCACTCCCTATAAAGCTGTTTTTAATAGAGGTGTATCCTCATTCTGATATTCTATAATCAGCTTTGTCAGAGACACTGTGGGCCCTTTTTCTTTAAAATATTAGCTTGCTAAAAATTTAAACCACTATTCATAAGCAAGAGAGAGAGAATCCACATATTCTATCTAAAATCATTAAAAGATTGATGAGCATTCATACCAGCAAAATTCTGGCAGAAGAATAATTTCTTTGCAGCAACCTGTGTAATTAAGGAGAGAATGAATATTGGTAAAAACATTACTCCTTACCCTCCTTTTCCACTCAGCAGAGATGGATCACATCTTGCAAAACTGTGTTTCCCTCTCCTGTAGTGGCACAGACAGGTGGGTCAGTTGTAAGAAATCAGAAACCACAGAGCTCAAATAGTCAAACCGAGTACTTGGACACAGGATCCCTTTCTCACTATTCTCCAATCTGGATTAAATAATTTTATTCCTTTCAAGCATTCCTGATAGCTCACCTTGTCTAGGCCTCTGTTTATTCTATGCCTCTCACCACCTCAGATTTGACACTGCAAAGTACTGAACGCTGGCCCTGTGGGTTTGATGTGTAGTAGACTGGAAAGGAGCTAAGAAAGCATCAAAATGTAGGACCCTGGAGAGTTACAGTGAGATAACAAAGGCCTGTGCGTGGTTAGATGGAGTAATCCAAGCCAGTTAAACACCTCTGGGGGGACAGCACTGGTCATCTGGAGGGAGGTGGAGGGAACAAGGCATCACATAAACCGAGTAACAGCTCGTTGGTGGGAGGAACGACATGGATCTTTTTTTGTCCCAGATCTTGTCACCACTCGTAGAGAGAAAAGGTGACTGAACCCCAGTAAGACTGAGGAGGAATGTTCTACCTAAGCTCAGTTCTACCCATGAGGTGGGAATTATTCATAGCCAGCTGAGAAAAGAGTACACTAGAAATCTGGCTAAGTTATTGTGACCTAAGAAGCACAAACTGACCTTAAAACTCTTAATATATGCTTTTTTTATGCAAGAAAAGCTATTCTTGTAAGAGCACAATATAAACTACGGGCATAACGTTTCTGTAATTCATTTGTTGCACACACAAGCAATGGCCATTCCCTTCAGCCAAACAGCTAAACCAGTTTAAGTTGTTGTTAAAACAAGCCTTATTGTTGTTTTCAGCAAGAGATTATGGTATCTGCACAAAAGTAGACATGCCTTTAGGTTTCTTCTTTAAGTACAGTTACTGGCATATGGAATAATAAAAGCAACATTCAATGGCTTAGGGCAAGACCAGCATCCAAAATAGACTTTAAATGACAAACAAATTGGAGCAGGCACTTATATCCACATAAGCCAAATGGTACTTACCTTTGACAGTAAATGCACAAAATTACATCTGGCTGAGAAAATCCCTCTGGGCTGGAAGGAATTGGCAGGTGGAATAGCACACACAGGAGTACCATGGTCGGGTCTTACTTGTCCTTTGACATCTGCTTGTGCCTACTGCAGGAGGGAATATTGGGATCTCTGACCAGGTGCTGGCAGTTGTGTATTTTTAGGTTATATCCAAGGAATTACATCACCTTCTGCCATTCTTCTCTTTGAGTCACTTCAGTGGCTATTCTGGAATAACTGTAATGACAATTCTGGGTTAAATCAAGTAGAAATGCTTCAAGTGTCTGCATTTGCCATGCTCATTTTACCTCAGCATCCTCAACTTTCTATGGCTCTTTTCCAAGCATGTCCCACACTTGCCTAGCTCTGTTTAGTCTGGGAAAGGTATAAGAAAAATAGCTGGAGGTCGTATGGCTGTTATCCATGCATAACTAATCCTTTATCAGAACAGATGTGAGTTGCAAAGAAAGTCAATGTCTGAATTTCCAAAAGGTTTGATGGAAATCTGTCTGAAAACTGCCAGAGCTGAGTGAAATATTTCCAGTGAACCTTTGCTTACTTCGCTGAGAGCTGGTGAAAGCACCATGTGTATATATAATATATATATATTCAGTGACATATGTCTATTCAGTAATGAATTTGTTATATGCTGCAAAAAGAAGAACGCTGTACTGATGGGAATCAAACCAATGGAGCTTTCCAGTCTTTCCAGCTACTAAGAAAAGGATAAACATAATTTTCATAGGTGGGATGGATAGTGATGACACTTAATTTGCTTTAGTAAGCCTGAAGAGAAGTCTGAAGATTTTAAACATCCTAACTAATATAAATTCTAGAATTTCTTTGGAGCTTCATTAAAGGCTTCCACTAATTGTCGATGTTGGGTTTGGTGGTGACTAGATACTGTGGTGATAGGTTCTCCAGAAGTGCTGAGAGATAGATAAAGTTGGGATAAACTGATGTATTTCATATTATGAGCAGCTGGATGAGCCCTGAACACCATACCCAAGTGATTAATTTCTGAATGGTGGTGAAAAGAGAGGGGGGTGCTCGAATAAATCAATGGTGATTTTAATAAACTGGGAGCTTCTAGGTACTAAATCTGTCTGCATCTGATCTGAATTGCAATTACCTGTCAAAAATTCATCCATCATTTGCAAGTTCCGGACAAACTTTCTGGCAGCAGATGTTTCAGGAAAGCTATTTCATGCGGGAAATATATTGTTGGGTGTACAGCATTCCCAAGAACAAAGAGCAAAGTAGAAAACATTTCACGAGTAACAGCAATAACTTCTCTGTCATACCTAAGCCTGGTTTATTGGGGAATATAATTTGTAAATGTGAATTTCCAGCATAAATCAGTCAATGAAATCCTACTCGTAATTCAGCTGATCTCCAATAGATGTAGTAATTCAATATTTGTGTACTTGTGAAAGCAATGGTATTTCTAATAACTTTAAATTCAGCATTATTAAACCCTGTCTCTCAGGCTAGAACACTGGTGACTGCTTTGCCAAAATAAATAAATGGTGTGCCTCCAGCAGCCAGGCTGTGGGAAGAGCAGCTTTCATGATGACTGAAATAATAAATATGAAATAATGAAAAAACCCCACACCAAACAACCAAAAATCCAAAACTCAGAAGAAATCGGGGAGAAAAAAATATTTGCCTTCCACTTAATATGGGTTCATTGACTTCCTGTCATAAGAGAAAGGACTGTATGAAGGATTTAGATTCAGAATACCTAAACTCCAGTTTTTCCTTGACACCTGTTCCCCCATTTGATACATGGCTGGTCCCTCCTGTGGCAAGAAGGCAACATAATGAACATTTCTTTGCAGCCATCAGTGAAATTGTCATATAACACCTCTATTTCTCATCTGAACATGTACCTGGAAAATGACCTCTGAAGACAGGCTGGACATATGATTAGAAGATTGCTATCCCAGCCAAATACGGCCCCAAAAGCTGTTCTACTGCCACCTCTATCAAAACCCTCCCTTCTGTTTGCCAATTATAATGGCAGAATCTATCACTCTTTTCAGAAAAATTTTCACTGTATCAGGAATTTACTTTGCACATTTTCTTCCCCTCTGTAGTACTTTCAAATCATGTTTCATTAAAAGCTGTTTCTGGCATAATTGGGAGCAATTCCCTCATAAAATAACTGCTGACAGATGGATCCATTTATATCTTACACATGATGTGCTGGGCTTCTTATCTTGTCACCTGTGCCTGGTGTTTGAGGATCCATCTTTTGTATTAGTGGCTTGGAAAGCCTCAGTTTGGTGCACTGTACCAAGTGTGTTCATTTGAGCTCTGCTCTCACACCCCTGGAAAACTGAGGGAGAAAACATCTGGGTTTGTCTTTTACTTTTGCAATATGTCATTTTTCAGAACTTCCCAATGTGTGTGTCCTCGTGGCCTCTTCCAAACCACACTGAAAGTAGTACAAGGACTCCTGTTGGCCAACATGGGGTAACATTTTCTGTAGAAAGATGCAATTCAGAAAATATTTACATATTACATGTCCACTATTTCCCTGTTATTTATTTCCCTCCATTATTTAGCTTGGAAGGACTGTGGGTACTTTGTGCAAATCACTTCTCAGGCCTGTGACAAGAGACTGTGTCCAATCCAAGGGGTTTTACTGCCTTAGCACTGGCTCCTGTGTCCGTTCCTGTGTTCCCATCTGTCCATTCCCCTGTGCCAAAGACACAGAGGAGAGCCAAAGGACAGGGAATAAATGCTCAGCTGCATCTCACAGGTACTCCAGGGGTGCCTGAAACCAGCACTGTGCACTAACCAGAGAAGAAAGCCCATCTCTGGAGGAGAGGTAATAAGTAGGGAGTGAATTATAATGAATCTTGAAAGTGAGGATAAATAACTTTTATCTAACACAGTGGAGAAGCTGGAGCTGGCAACGGGAAAAGTAAAGAGGTGAATGGCATGGAAAATGATCCTGGCAGGAAGCTTCATAACGAGCAGAGGGAAAGATCATTTATATCAAGGCCTGGGCACAGCAGGACCTGCAAGGGGAGGGTGTGAACCCAAACCAGATCCTTTCCTCTCTTTACATTTGTGAAAGACTGCATTTTAGGAATATCAAAAGGAAAATTAACTTTCAGCCTTAGAAGTAGCTGGAGGAGCAAGTGCTTCAGCCTGGAGATGGTCTGGGACGAACATAGTCTTGTGCTAAGGGTAAGGGTGCAATCCCATCCTATTTAGCTGTCAGCTGGACCAGTGTTTCTCCAGGATGTTTGATGAAGCCTTGGGAGACAACAGTGGATTCAGTACTTTGGAAATTGCTTACCTTGGAGAGGGAAAGGTGCCAGCACCAGTCAAACAGTGTCCAGCTTCTTCATTAGAAGCAAATTGTTTGAAGCTGGAATCTTTCCTGACTGGTGTTTTTCCCTTAATTTTCCTGTGGAAAGGTTATTGAAAAAGCTGTTCCAGGTACTGTGATCATGCATTCCTACAGCCTTAAAAGTTAAATTTATTCCAAGTGCAGCCCACCTATGTTTGAGGCCTATATGCATAATGTATTTTAACATTGCTAAGGCATCTGTGACCTCAGCTCAGAAATACCATGAGAGGGAATGGCAGAAGCCAGACAGATGAAGGACAGGGGGTGTAAAGCTTAAAACAGCCTCATTAAAATGTATTTTTCTAAGTCTGAAAAAATAATGAGAACCACCCCTTGATCCCTTTTCCTGGAAGCAGTGATCAAATGTTTGAGAGGCCAGTTTCATTCTGATTAATAATTTTTTATTAGGAAGGATGGGAAATATCTAAGGTATGCGGGTCCTTTTTATTATGAACATTTATTTGTGGGATAAAATTACCCTTAAACAACAAAGTCCTCTGCTATTGCACATATACACCTGGTCCTTTTAGCTATTGCTTATCTGTTCTGTAATAAAATACCTACTTCATGTGCATCAAATAAACAAATCAGACCCAACACTATGTGACCACGTTTCTGTCATTTTTCAGTGTAAACTGGCAGCTTTCTTTCATTAAGGAGAATGAACGTGCTACTTGAATCATTCCAAGGAATCACAGCCTTACGACCTTCTTAAACTATCTATTGATATCTACAGAAAGCACTTTAATCCTTCTCTTCTTCCCACCCTACACAGTGAAAAGGCAGAAGTCTCAGTTTGCATTATTTTAGCCTTCAAGTCTTCTTAAAGATAAATAATGTTCCCTGCAGGTTTACGTTAGGGATTAAGTATCTTGGTGCTGAATAACTCTGGAAATAAATCAAATGAAAGGGGGGGCACAGTCTTTAGCTCTGTTTCTGGGGCTTCTTTTCAGTCTATGATTTTTATGTAGCACTTTTTTTTCATCTGTTTGAGGACAAAATGTAAAACGTTTTCAGAAAACATCTTCCCTTGCCCTTCCTCTTTCCTTTTTCTTAATATAGAGTTTTGAGGCTGACAGATGATGTTGCACATGAACTTGGCTGCTTTGTGGCACAACCTGGCTCACTATTAAGAAACTGTGTCTGATCTACAACTTTTCAAATGTTTCACTCCCGGTTGTTTTTGACATGTCTTTTTTTTTTTTCCCCTGGCTTTCCTTGGGTTTAGATGTTTTGTTGGAATTATCACTGTTTTGCTTCACATTATGACATAGTAGACTTTTAATATTAACACCTGAGCACAAAAAATCAAAATTAAGAAGCTGTTCCACTAGACTTAGAGCATTGTGGCTCTTGAAAGAGTCAGGGACACCTCAGCTGTAGAAATCAGATGCTGATAAGTATGAATCCTATAGAAGATTTCAAAACTAATTGTGTTTTTTCTGAGTCAAGGCTGTGTAGTGTTTGGCTGCCTGTTTGATTGAGCTTAGGCTGCTTTTATGGCTATACAGAAAATAGTACAGCAGCTAAAACAAAAGAGTAAAAAAGTAAAAGAAATAAGAAATACTTTGTGTGATTTAGCAGCCTACTTGGAAACAGAAAACAGAATACTGTTTAGTTTTATGGCAGAGGAAGAGTGTTGGTTTCTTGGTCTTTGAAAATATATATAGCTCTGATTTAGTATTCAAGGGAATAACTAGCCCTGACTGTAGAAAAGAATATTTGTGTGATATCTTTTCCTGGCTTTTTAAAATTGAAACCGAGTCGCTTCTCCTGGAAGGTATTTCCTTATCTAGTCTGTAGCCCGTCCTTTTTCTTTCACTATTTGAAGTCCACAGGCAAAAACCCAGCAATGGTGGATCTGTCCCTGCTGGGAGGGGACACAAACAGAAAGGGAGAAGGCACCAGTCCCTGTTCCTTTGCCACATTTGCAGCACTCAGTGCACGTGTCTGAGGCTTGTTTGGCCAAGACAAGAATTCCTTCCCTTGCTCAGGCAAACTACGGCCATGGACTGTGGCCCAACACAGATTAAAGCAGGTTCAGCTGCTCCTCCTCCAGACAAACCCTCCATCCCGAGGAACTGGGAGCACTGAGGAACAGCAGGGGCTGGCACAGCCCTCAGCAGACATTCCTGTTGGCACAAGGGCTGTCTGGGTACAGTTATAAATGCACTGCTGTCCAGCAGAGCATGGAAACAACCTGCTGCTGCTCCTCTTTGGTGTCACAGTGTTTTCCTGGGAGCGGCATGGGTTTGGTTTTCCTGTCTGCACAGAAAAATGACTGTTCTGTAAGCTGAGAGTGAGATATTCCCTTCTCCTCATACTTATCCCTTCAGATTTTACAATGACAGCATGCCAAGAGGGAACAGAAGGACTGAATAATGCAGAAATCAGTTTGGCACATCTGGAAAAAACACCTCTGTGTTTCTTTCTGTGAATGTTGCGAACAGGTGGGAAGTGCAGCTGTCTGAAAAACTTCATCTTATTCCCATGAAGAATTTTGATTATTTTTTTAATCATCCCCAAAGTGAGATTCTTCAGTTTTGAGGTGATTCTGATTTGCGACAAATGCTGTTTAAAAGACAGAGTGACAGACACTATAAAAAAAGAGTAAAAAAAGCCGTGCAAACACAACTTTTTTAAAAAACACAGAATTAAGATGGAAGAATCTTACCATACTCTGACAGAGAGAACCTTCTAGCAATAATTTCCAAGATCTCCATAGGCTGATATGGCACAGGAACAAAAAGTCTTGACATCTAGTGAGACTTTCACCCTTTATTTCAAGGTCACAGTAAATTCAATGCACATGATTTTAATGGGATCAAGAGGGGACTGTCACCTGTCACCCCGTGGGTGGTGGCCTGTCTTGGGGCTGGTGCTTCGTGAGGATCTCTGTTCTGTCCTCTTAACCACAAACTGTGGATTGATATTGAAATAACCCTTAAAATTCCTACAGCATTGCACCCATGTGGAGATAGATGACTTTAAATGCACCTTTAAGCAATTGTGGAAATTTCTATACTAAGAACTTATTCATATGAAATTGTTATTCATATGGAATTGTGATAAAGCTCAGAACATGAACCGGAATTTGAAAACCGTGGCTTTTGGCTGCCTTTCAAGAAAGGCATTTTATTTTCACCCTGCATTTGGTAATCCAAAATGAAAATCTAAGTGAGATGGAAGGGTAACTGCTATGTGCCATGTTGCATTGATTGTGGAAGTTACTTTACATAGTTCTGGGAATGCACAAGTTGCCACAATCTTTTTATGCTTTCATTTATAAAAATCTTGCACAATAAGGTGGCTGTGGGCAGATATTAATACTAATGCACGAGACAACTGCTTACCTTGTGTGTGCAGGGATGTTTTGTGTAGATGGTTTATTCACGTGGGTTTATCACTTCTCCTCCAGTTCTGTCTTCATTCCCTCTCCTTTTACTGCCTGACTTCATTAAGTCTTTACTTTTCTGCTTGTCCAAAAAGTACCTTGCAAACCTACAGGGATAAATAAATAGCACTAGTGATAAATGCTTAATCAGTTATCTTGGGAGTTCTTGGCCTCAGGATTGACTCTGTTGGCTTGTACACAAACCAACCTTGCAGGTGTGGTGAAGCCTCCAGTGAGGTGTCCCACAGGATGGGTGTAGAGCAGCAGCACGTGGGGATGTTTGTGTTGAGATACAGATGCATTTTCGTATAAAAATGTGTAAAAAAGCAAAGATTCCTTAGTAATCAGTTAAAGCAGTTGGCATTTTTCACGGATGTACAGAAAAGAAGTCTACTTATTTTAGAGTTCATTTAGTGATGCTTATGGCCAATCTTATTCTTTTCATAATGAAGCCTTGCTGTAATCCCACCTCTGCTCTCCTAAATTCCACTCCTCAGTTCAAATGTGGAGATAGCAGTTAAAATTAAATGCTACTTCATGGAAACCACCAGTTTTCTTATTCCTGTGGTAGCAAGTGAGTTTTCATCCTTGAGTTTCTCAGGCTAATGATAAACGGCTGATTCCTTCCCTTCCCTGTGCTTTTTCTCCAAACAACAACAAAAGATTGCTCCGTTAAATTCCAGTTCAAATTAATGGAAGTCTGGGGGAGAAGGAACAGACAAACAAACAAGGAAGTGTTTTATATTTGGGTTTTTCGTTTCATCTCGTGGCAGATGGGTTTGGTGTTTTTTACAGCCACCTTTTGAAATCAGTATGTTATTTTGTCATTTCTTTGCAGGAGAGTAACAGCTCTGAATCTTTATCATATTGATCGTTTCACAGCCCTTCGTCTGGGGCCCAAGATAATACACAGCATTGTTATTGCATTATTATTTTTCATTTGTATCCTATTGATTTGCTGCCAGTAACTTACAGGTCAATTTGCAAAAAGATGGGCCATGATTTATTTTTTTTCTGAAGGATTATGCCACGATGGGAATGCTTTTATAAGGCTGTCAGGTCTTTAGGTTTGTTTTTTCTTCTCTGGGGAGTGCAGCACATTCCTAGACTAGTGGCACGGTTCCACCTGGATTTACACCCGGAGTATCCATGACTCTCACATAATTCATATGGATAAGTGGCTGTACACAAGCCTACTCTTAAATTGGAATTTTACTCCCGGGGAATGGTTCTTTTCTCACTCAGAAATAACACACAAAGTCAATATAGTTACACTGATGTAAAAGAGAGGGGAGAGGAGACTTTATCTGTCTGAACACAACAAGCTCCCAAGGTTTAACACCCCCAAATGGCAGGTGCTAAAAACAGACATGAAAAATTATTTTTGGTACCATCTTTTTTGTTTGCCATAGTAACAACAGTTTACTACCAAGTAGTAGTAGTCCAGTTACTAACAACTTGGTACTTAGAAGGCCCACTTTTGAAACAAAATAAGGACTCTTAACCAAATGTTTTCCTTATTTATATTTGACTTACCATCATTAGAATGTTGCTACTAGGAAAGCATGGATTATAACAATATGTAAAATTGCACAAGTACTTTTAATTCCTTCAGTGTAAAACTCCTGCTACATAATTTACACAGGGTGAGTTTTTTAATTACTCAGTGCAAAATCTGTTAAATGCAGTAGCTGATGTATACAAATCCACCTGATTTGTACTGTTATTTTTCCCTGGAACCCATCCAGGTAAATCAAACACACAGTGAGGGACTTCCAGTTCATGTTCTGCTTAGGCTGTATTGAATTTTCCTGGCATCTTTTCAGCAGGAGCAATTTGACAAGAGAATTTTTTTTGGTAGCACTGAATACCTTTTTCTGCCAGTGAATATTTTCACGTTTGGAATTGGTGTGATGTTTTGTACTGGACTGTGGTACAGAACTGGGTGCTGATGTTAAACCATCCTCTTACCAGCACAGGTCACTGGAATAACCTGCTCAGTGTGGGAAATTTTATTCTAAATTGTAGATCATTGATGGAGCTCAAAGCAAGACACAGTCCAACTAAATTCCTCATTCATAACGTGTCTCATGACAAGAAAATTATCAAGTAGCTGAATTGATGCCCTTATGTTGTAGGAATATTTTAAAGAATGTTTTAGTTTGTTTTCTTTTCTTACTTGCCCAGGTTTTGCTTCACATTTTGACACCATCAGGTGTCTAATACAACTGTACTAGATGGGAGTGAGGTCAAGTGGGATTTCCTGCTTAAAATGGAGGTGTGAAGTCACCAAATGTGCTGTGAGTGGCTGTTAAATGCAGCACAACGTTTCATATATATATATTCATATGTTATGTGCATGTGCAGCTAAATATTTTAGTATGCATTTATGTTAATATTTGAGAAACAAAAATGACCGTGTTCCAAGACTGCTGGAAGTTTTCTTAAACACCATTGAATGATATAGTGCTATTTATAGATAGAGGAAAAAAAAAATCATTTTCCTTCTTGGTAATATTCATGACTGTTTTAGTTAAGCTGAGATTTTTTTTTAATTGAGAAGGAATTTCCTTAAAAAAGCCAAATCCTTTAATTTATTACTAAGGAATCTCTGAGTTTTTACACCTTTTTATATGAAAACATTTCTGAATATTATATTCAGAACATCTAAGTTGCAGTTTCAAAGTTTATCCTCCTTTATAAGAATAAAAAATGTTTCAAATCAGTCAAAATCTGTTTCAGTAGGTCACAAGTCAGCTTCTGTTAACAAACACAAGGAGTTTAATGTTTAAAGTTAATGCTTTAAAGTTAAACGTTTTATGAATCAAAGCAACTGTTTTCCACCAAGCCTGACTTCTGCTTTATTTCAGAGTCCTGCAAAAGTATCTGCCTTGTATCTGCCAGTAAATTGTGAAAACAGTTTGTGCTTTCCTCAGTTCAGTTGTACTTCCCAAGAAAGGGAGATTTACCAAGAGTTTCTAAGTTACCCAGACACTTAGAAAAGACCCCAAGCACTTTTTACAGTGATGAATGAGGATATTTATTCCTCAACTCAGATTTAGTGATTGACTCAGACATTCTGACTGCTACAATGACACTGAAGTTGGGATATTTGAAATGAATCAGTGAGCAGAACACTGAATTGAACTTATTGCTGATTTACTACCTGATATCTGCACAGAACCCAACATTTCTGATTTCCTCTTTTAAATCTGGCAGCTTAACCATGTTTATAGTAAGCCTTGCTTCACTCTTTGATTGTGAACAAGTAAAAAAGCAATGAAATATTAGTTACATAAATGTCTATCTCTAAAAATTCTCCACAGGTGATAAATAATTAATTGGATTATTTTCTTTTTTTTTCCCCCAGCAATAATATGCAGTGTCTGAGTTAAGAGGTGACTGCTACCATAGATATCAAGCTCTTCTGGAAGTTCTCTGTTTCCTGTGGTGTTTCTGGTTTGGAGCAGCCCTGGACAATGTCAGGTGGGTCAGCTCCTGTCAGGGTAGGTGCATCCTCCCCCAGCCAGCAGGTCACTGAAGGGTTACTGATGCACCATCTGTTGACTTGGCTACTGGAATGGGAATAATTTGTGGCAGGATCCCAAATGATGAATTAACACTCAAATTTGTGTTGGGGATAAACATATTTATAAAGCTGCAACGCAATTACTTAATGCTATTACCAGATAATAAGGGAACTCTTCTGGAATTCTGTTGTCTGTAAAGACATCCTTACTCTTTGCTGACTTAGGAAAGTACATTACAGAGCTTTGGCAAAATCCCCACCTTTTATACAGTGCTATTTCAGAAGAACTTCCCAAGCAAAACAAGTTATCCCTCTGCACATCAGAGCCTTCATCATCTGAGTTTTGCCCTTACATGCAGAAGCAAAGATGGCATTCATATTATAATAACCTCAAATTTAAGTTCAAGTGGTGTTGCAGAACTGGGGAAACATTTGTCTATAAACTGTTTTTCTGGCATAGAGAAGCCAAAATTTCATGCTAGATCAAATCATGTGGATTAAATGTCAACAGCCATAACCTTCAAGCAGGACTTGGAAACTCAATCACTGGATTATGGTGGACCAGTCTAATTCTTCATAAATCTCTTCTATGTCTTTTGATTTCATTAATGAATTTCTATGATAGTATAATATATGAGATAATATAAACATTAAAAAGGGACAGAAAATTAATCTTTTTAATATAATCTCTCTTAGGAAGCAAGTGCTTCCTTAATATGAAAATTCACTGGCAGAACCTAGAAGTGAGTAATGGGTGCACTCCTGTGAAGAGGACATCTGACTGGGAACATCAAAGCCACTTGTGACTGTTGGGTTGTGTTTGTGTTCACACAGGAAATCTGTCATTCAGCAGCATCAGGGCATTTGTAGCTTGGGCACCTCGGGCTACACAGTCTCACAGTGTAGCAGCCTGTCTGTACAAATAACTCTCTCTTTGTATTTCAGGTTTCCAGATTTTTGTTCTTCCATGTTGATCTGGAATGTGTTTACAAAATACACGTGTATGTGCAGTTTATATTGCTAGGTAGGGGTTTTTTTCCCTCAACAAAATATAAAGTGTGGCACGAGGCTACTCAAAGGCATTTTTTCTGCACAGTAGATTTTATTCTGCAAATTAAACTGCTGAAGTTGCAGCTGAACTTAGTAGCCAAGTCTATTCTGTCAGTGCCTGGTCTGTAATTCACGAACCTCCCTTTTTTTCAGCCAGAAGATTCCCTACTCTCTTGTTATAAGTCCTTTTAGGAATATATAACCATGATTTTCTTAAGATATTTATATGACTTCCAGGACCTGTACCAATAAAAAACCTTTCATTTTTTCTCTCCTCCCAGAGATGAGGTGTCACCACTTGAAGATCTCAGGAAGGACAAGTCGATTTTGAAGTGAGTCCTGGTGCTTCTTTTTAACAATTAGTATTCCTGTTTCCCGTGGTTCCTCCTTTTTAATGAGGTCTAAACATGTCAAGTCATTCTGGCATATTCCCTGAAGTATTTTGCTCTCTAAAGACAGCCATGGGGATATTCAAACATTTCTGAATTAGTTTAGGCTCAGGTAACAACACATGTTTTATCATGGAAGCTGCACACCAAAGGAAGTGTCAGGTTTTCCATTTCTGAGGGACTCGTGGCCAGGCCTTGGTGCCTTTTTGCATCTTTCACACAGGGTACCTGGCTGGATTCCAGGGCCACACGGTGAGGTTATTTACCATGTGTTGTACAGGTGGTGAGTCTAAATGATCTAATGATCTTATGCCCAGAAAATCTCTCACTCTACATAATATTCTTGACCTTTTCCTCTGTCACTCATTTATCTGCACTTGGAGAAGGCTGGCACGTGGCTTCTTTTATTGATGGCTTGCTGCATGTCCTAGGATCACTGTTAATGTGCTCTAATCTTTATACAGCCATTAAAGCACTATTAGAGACCTCAGTCTTGGACTTTATATGGTCGTTGGAAGAGTTTTACACAGGTTATTATCATGTTCCTCTGTCTGGAACTGTTCAGCAAACGCCAGGCAGCAATTACAGAAAGGGTTACTTACCATCAAACCTGTACACAGGGAGTTGGTGAGATATATTTCAGAGGTATAATTCACCCATCCACCAGAGCACAATAAAACACCTTCTTTATTTCTGATTTTATTGGTTCTGTCTGCTCTCATCTGGTGCCTGAACATTTTATCTGTTCAAGCCGCTGTTTTCTAATGCAATAAAAAGAGCAGACAGGATTTTGCCCTTTATTTAAAATGTTTTGCTGCATTTAGAGGTAAATAACAGCCACTTTTTGTGTTGTATATTTTGAGACTTATCTGAGAAAGAATTGTTTTGATAGTAAGCAGGCTCTACAGGGTCCAACCATTGTTTAATATGAGTAGTCTCTTCATAACATCTTATTTTTCCTTTGCTCTGATATGAACCTGTCCCTCTCCCCTTCCATCAGCTCGTGACCTCCGTGGGTGGTTTCCAAAGTGTGGTAGTGCTCAAACACAGCTCTCACCCCACAAACCAAGATGAGAGCTGGGTACTTGCCCTCAGGCTTAGCAAGAGACATCTCTGGGAGTCAGGCACCCGAGTTCCTTCATTAATATTAAAGCAAAAAAGGAGAGGAAGGCTCTGGCTCCCAGTTCTTACACGAATGGAGTTTAAATCTTTTACATGAGGAATTCAGCGAGCAGAGATCCTCACTTTCAAGCAGATATGTCTTTTCAGGAACAAGCTGACACTCCGAGCACCAAAACAGATCACAGGAACTACAACAAAAAGCAGTGTTCTGCCAAAGCTAAAGGCTGAGGAGTCTGTCAGGGAGAATGATGGAGCAAGAGGAGTGGTATTATTACAGGCAGAGGGGGAAAAAGAAAGAGTGGAAAGTATAAGAAACTGGAAAAGACTTTAAGGGACATAATGCTGTTTAATGGGGCAGAAACTGAGAGACAAGTGAACTACAGTGCAGTGATCAGCATTTTGTCAAGACAATTTGTAAAAGGTGACAAGTTGTAGATTAAACGCTTCGATTCACCTTTATGTCACTCTGCCTGTGCACTTGTGTCATTCTTTTAATGTAATAACCTCCACTAACACTTATAGGCTGCAGCATAATTTTGTTGACCTTAAATTAAGGAAAAAAGATGTGATTCTGGATTTGAAGCCTGCAGTACTTTACTGGCTAAAGGGTAAAATAAAGAAGTGTAGCTGAGTGACATTTTCATGTCACGTGATGAATCCAGGCTCATGCATCACAGGAATTCCAAAACAACTTGGTTCATATAATTTCAGCCTCTGTCTCAATCCTAAAATTGTATTAAAATTAAAGCCTCAGTTTTTAGGTATTCTCATAATGATTTATGGGAAATGTTTTCTTTGCAACATAGAATATCATAGGATGGGAAACAGTAGTAGTTGGGGGGGATCTTTCTGATTTCTTTCCTTTCCTTTTTATTCCTTTCTATGCAACACTGCAGAAATGCAATCTAAGTGAATAGAAGAAAGGCAACTACATTAGGTTAACAAGTGAGGAGAAAAAGTCAATCTTTCAGGCTTTAGAGGAGCTGATAAAGGAAAAAAACTGTGCCTGCGGTAGAAAGCCACAAGATATCAAACAGCCTGAGATATGCTTCCACAAATCAACAAAGAACATAAACTAGGAAAAAAAAAAATGCATTCCTCTGGTCTGTGTCCCTAAGATGAGAAACCAAAAACCTGCGAGTATAAAGCAGGTGTGGGATGGTTGTCAGTGGAATGTCAGCTTCCAGCACAACGGGAATAACTCAGAGGGCTCGGGATGAGTTCTCTGCTGCCTCGCACATTGTACAGTCTTTTAATCAAACCCCAGAATGAATCGTTTCCAGCCACAAAACACACATCAGACCACGAGAAAGAGGATTACAGCACAAATGGTGCTTTACCAGGATTTAAGATCTAGAACTAGTACTAGACAGGGTTCAGCTTGAGTAATGATCTTAGTTCCTTCCTTTTCCCTTCTTCCTGAAATATATTTACCTTCATATATACGTGTTGCTTCAGCAGGCTTCTAGAGATCCCCAGAGGATCCATCCTTGAAGCACTTCCATCCTGGAAGTGCTCTGACCTTTAGATATTGACAGAGGAACTGCGTATTCTCATGTTCTATAGTGTGTATTGACAACAATGGCAGTTTTTCCATTCCCTTTGTAAATAGTTTAATTTTTACATATTTCTATGACTTCAGGATATAGTTGCCCTTCCATAATATATAATATTTCTGTCAATTCTTTTAATCTAGGGATGCCAATGCTGTACCACATATTGATAAACACATTACACCGTTTAAACCATGTCACTCATCCCAAAGGAAAAATGCCCGATAATCTGTAATATGAGGCTATTAATTTATCCACAGAGGCAACACTACACACACGGCTTGACTGATAAGCAGCTTCTGTCTCCTGTGGCCAGTAGTAATTCCTTTTCCATGTTAGCCATGTGTTGGACCTTGGGCTTGCACATTTTGTCACTGGTGCCAGATTATAGGTAACGGCTTTGGAATGTGGAGTATCCTCTAATGAGGATTGCACACCACTACCAAAAAAATTTCAATTAGCACTCCAATTAACTGTAGAACTGAACTGCAGGGGTAGTAACCAGTGTCTTATCAATTTAGTTGTTTGGTGCCCATGGATTTTTTTCTTTAGAATATTTTCGGGGAAGGATATGAGATACACCTTTTACCTCTCTGTTTTTGTCTCTTTCCATGGTATATCAATATATCACATCAGTCCCTTCAACAGCTGAGAGGAATCCAACAGAAAAATCTTCAGTCTTCTGGGCCCCTAAAAGAAGCTTTTTACGCCAGTGTCTGGAGCAATACTTCTGAAAATATTTCTGTAAAATTCTCCTTTTAATTCTTGATCATGCTCAGACACATTAGACTGATATAAAACCCCCAACTAACTTCACCAGCCTCGGTGGAATAGCCGAAGTCTCTGCCAACTTTGCACTATCAAAGCATAATTATATTACAGTTATAAATATAATTATCACAGGACATTGGCTTCACAACCTGAATCTTCATGCTTAGGGCAGACAATAGCATTTGTCTAATATTTTCTTGACACAGGGACTGATAACTCCAGGCTTCATGACAGACAAATCCTTGCTCTCCCCAGTTCCTTGGAGCTGAAGGTGCTCACCCACACTGACAGTTTAGTAAGTGAGACTGGATTATGTTTCTATCAGCAGAGCTGCTGTTATGGAAATTCCTACTCCAATGCACTTCCATAGAGAGAGAAATACAGACAAAAAAAAAATCAAGTTAAAAACTAGAAGGCAGCATTTGTGTGCCAGTGTAGCAAGCAAAGAGGTGAGTGAGTGAAATACCAGCAGAGAGGAGAGGAAGGTCACTGTCCCAAGGGAGAGCAACGCCAGATGGCCACAAGCACAAATTAAAAATTCTGCAGATATGAATTTTACTCTCACCCTTTGATTTTTTTTAGCATAATTTGCACTGCAGTTTATTTTCATGGCCACTGGGGGATTGGTAAAGGGCCAGATTGCTCTAAAGGGAAAATATTTTAATGTCTACATACAGTGGGATATTCATATTGTCAGCATTAAACCTACTCAGATCAGCTCTGTCTCCTGAGATGACAGTGGCAATAAAAGAGCCACCTGAGGGTCTCTTACAGCTGAGATGCAAATGCCCTCTCCCTTTTCTTGTAAAACAAAGCATGTGCACAGATCTCCTAGATGTGCTTGGGCACCACTGAAACTTTGATTTAACTGCATTTCTGTGCTGAATCGAAATTTTCAATGGCAAACTGAGAACATTTTGGCCTTGAATAAGAAGAGACATTTCTTAATAACTGCAACTAGCTGCTTCAGAATTAAAACAAATGCTGACTGCACATTCATCCTGGCAAAAACAGAAGAACTGACCTTAGTAATGATTAACACGGAATACGCCCAGATGTACATTTGAAACATTTGCATTTCAAGCACCAGAGAATAGTTTTTCCTCCCTAATGTTGCATAAAGAATAGTCAGTAAACTGCCATTCCTGTTTATGTTATAACTGAGCAACCAACCTTCCAGATTTTGTTTCATTTCCCAACCTTTTGAGTTTTTTTTCTGCCGTGTTGTGTTTATTTTCTGGACATATTCAATTTTGCTTTTACAGGAGATAAAAATAATAAAAGAAATCTTATGGTAGAACAGCGGGAAGCAAATAACACTCGTGCATTTTTCATTGATCCTTGAAAAATTAGATGAGCCTCAGACTTACTTTTGGATTTATCTATGCTGTGTTAGGGTGTTCTCAAAGAACCTTAAAGAAACAAATTCTCTGTTTTGCCTCCTATTTGTGGTAGGGGCAAAGAAGAACAAAATGAAATATCAATCTCAATGGCCTAAAAACCTGATAAACCTGTAGGAGAAAGATGTTTTCTGCTGCATCATTTGTCATAAATGAAGTTATTAAGATTTAAAAAAAAGCCCTCAGCCCTAGCAGCCTTTGCCAGAAATGGGATAGACACAGTAATCTTGAAACAGTTATTCCTTCAGTCTTTCTAACCTCTGAAGACAACTAAATTAACACAGAAATTGGAGCTACAGCCAACGGCTCCCAAAATTATGAAAACCTTTATTGATTCAATTTATTACAAATGCTGTCCTGAAGCAGCAAAAGTGACTCTGCACTGATTTATTTAATCCTTTTACCTTTTGGCTGAGGGTATGCTTTGGGTTTGCATGGTCCCGCTGAAGAGCAATGGAGAGCATAACAAGGAGATTACTTAGTCATGGAATCATCAAAGCATCTGCTGAGACTGTTAGCTTGGGTTTTCCTCTTCCTACCGACTGTATTGGTGGACAATATTCTCAGACTGTGTTCAGACTGCCTGGTCTGTTTACCTGGTCATTTTTAATTCTGCACTGATGGATTTGTCAGTTATCACACAGAACACAAGTATCAATATTGGTACTTTCTGCATGTTTGAAGCCTTTTACGGATGTGGCTCCAGGGTTTTGTATTTACAAGCAAACCTCAATTCATATTTACACTGTTCATTTTGATCTATGAAACAGAGAAAAAAAAAAATCACAGAATCACTAAGGTTGGAAAAGCTCTCTAAGATCATCAAATCCAACCATTCCCCCAACACTGTCAAGGCCACCACTGAACCATCTCCCTGAGTGCCCTGTAAGTGTCCCCCAGGGTGGGACTGACCACACGTGTCCATCCTAGGAGTGCCTGCGGATCATAAACTAACATTTCTGGAATCAGAAATCTCCAAAGTGTTTCTAAAAACATACTCCATCACTTCCTGTCACTTTTTATTCAGTGCAAGTACGAAAATTTCTGAGATGGACAATGAAAAGCAATACATAAAAATCCAAGACAAATGATCATAAATGGCCCTGATGAGAAACCAGATCATATGTAATTTAATGGAGGCAGAAGGTCATTCTAAACACATTAAATATAACAGCACAAAGCAAACAGGCGAAGCACGTCCTTATGTCATTGTGATATTGAGATTGAAAGATCACATGCTTAAAATAACTTAAAAGGAAAATAAAAAGTGCTCAACAAGTGGAAAGCCAGATTTTTCTCTGCAAGTGCCATGGGTTTTGGGCACCCAGACCTGAAACACCTGTCATCCATCACCCTCAGGAGTCCTGCTTTTGTCCTGCTTTGGAGCCTACACCAACAGTTCAGACTGAGATTAAGGGCAGCATTTCATAGGGCAAAAAGAATGGCAGCTGTCCCCTCCACTAAATAGTGGCAGTTAACACCAGAGAGTGCTGGCTGTTTTATCTCCTTTAAGAGCTGAAAAGATACACATGCATGTTATCAGGAGTTTTGCCATAGAATACACGTGTACACTTTCAGCCACATAGGGATTTTGGGGTTTGATAATGTTTGATAATGTTTCTTACAAATGAACTCAAGGTGCTTCTGTATGTCAGAGTATTATTGTTATTTTAATTATGAAGACAAATAAATGAGTCACTGACAGTGGTATTTAATGCAGCAAGAGCACATGTAAGGGTGGCTCTGCAAGGGGCTGGTGGCTACACTGACCCCCATAGCTCCACTGTCCCCTTTGCACATGGGAAGGGTTATTTGTACCTGCTTGCCCCACCATTCCACACATTTACTTGAAGGTGGGCACAAAGGTGTTAAAACAAAATTATCCCTGTGCAGAAAAGAAGCCAAGTTTCTCCTGGTGCTCTGGACAGTCCCTAAATGGAAGAGCTGTAGTTTTTCTCCTTACAGCAGCTAAAGAAATCCAGTGAGCCTTCCGTGTTTTCCTTAATTGTCTCTGATTTTCAGGAAGTCCCTTCTACTGTTTTTCATTCGTTAAAAATGGGCAGCTGTGGCACTGTGAGAAATAGCAGCATATTCCTTGGAAAATAGCCAGGAAAGGACCGCAGTGGGTCCCAGGCTGGGGGTGCCCCTTCCAGGCTATTATATGTCATTCTGTTAGAATTCCTAATTCTTTAGGCACCTAATTGGCTTCGAGGAGTTCAACCATGTGCCTGGGAAAAGCTTTGATGTGCGGATCTGGAGGAATGGAAACCCATCCACAGCCCTGAGCCCCGGCCCCCAGATCTGCCCAGCTCCTTGTACGCTCCCCTGGAGACCAGATGTTCCCCTTTGGATAAGATCCCCTGGGGCAAAGGCAGAGTTGTTTTTAAGGCACACTCTGCCATCCCATCACGGCCATGCTGTCCCAGTAACATCCATGCCCCCCATGGAGGCAGCAGCCTATTTCCCAGACCCTGAACAGCAGCAATTGGGGCAACCCCACAGCTGGGGCCACTCTGGCTGATGGGAAAGGACCCATACCTGGGCTGGGCTGGGCTGGGGGTGGAGAGGGAAGGAGCTGGGATGGAATGGTGGAACTGTTGGGTAGTTGTGGTGCAGGGAATGCCTCGGCTGCTGTTGAGCCTCCCTGGCCCTGCTCTGGGGCTGGATCTGCCGCCTGTGGTCCTACGAGGAGCCCAGCCCAGGGCAGAGGTTTTGGGCCTGGCTTGGGGCTGTGTGTGCGCCCCGACAGCTCCGGGAGCATCTGCTTTGTCCTCCAGGACCCCCTGGCATCGCGCCGAGGAGCTGCGGAACCGGAGTACACGTGGGGCCCAGCTGGGTGTCCATCACTCGCCCTGCCAGGGTCCCTGCGGGGAAGGCTCTGTGGGGGCCGCGGCTGCGGGGGCCACACAGACGTCACCGCGGTTGGGATGGATCCATAGGGATGTGTGTCCCTTGTGACTGATGCCGGGGACCTGACTGCTGTGCGGGATGTGCCTGTCTCGGGTTTGGGGCTCGGGGCTCTCTGCGATCCCGCGGCTCTGCCGCGGCCGGGCGGGGCGGGGCGAGGGGCGGGGCGGGGGCTCCGGAACGCGGGGCTGGGGCAGCGATCGCTGTCACTGTTACTGCCGTCAGTATCTATCGTGTGTTGTCATTGATATTACACTGTCATATTTGTCTTGGTGTCCACTATTAAACTGTTCTGATCTCACTCCACGGACTGTGTTTTGTCTCCCATTCCTCTCCCCATCCCACCGCGTGGGTTGGGGACGAGCGAGCGGCTGCTGGTGCGGAGCTGCCGGCTGGGGTTCGACCACCACACCGGGTCATTTTGGGGGCTTACAGAGAGAGACCCAGCGCTGCGTTTGGGGGGCTCGGAACTCAGACAGAGTCCTGCGATTCTGGGCTCACAAGCAGAGACCCACTGCTGTGTTTTGGGGGCTCACAACCAGACTCACTTGGTCAAAAGAGAGACCAAGGGCTGCGTTTTGGGTGCTCAAAATTCAGGCTCAGAGCTTAAAAACAGACTAAATCCTGCATTTTGGAATCCTGAAACTAGACTCATATGGCCAGTTCTGGGACTGAGAAACAGCGACTAAGACCTGTGTTTTCAGGGCTTAAGGCAGAGACCAAGTGCTGCATTTTGGTGGTTTAAGGCAGAGACTGAGTCTTGTACAGCATGTGGGCCTTGAAACCAGGCTTATGTGACCAGTGTTAAAGCTGAGAAATGGAGACTAAAAGTCCCCCCGGCCTTAGGTGGCCACATTTTGGGCTAAGAAGCAGTGATTGATTCCTGCATTTTTGGGAGCCTCAGGAGAGACCACATCTTGTGTGTTTGGGCTCAGAAATGAAGACCAAATGCTGAATTTGGTTGCTCAAAACCAGGCTAATTTGCGCAGGCGTAAAAATGGAGATTAACTGTCAGGTGTTTTGGGGGCTTGAAACCAGGGTCACTCAGACATTTGGACTCAAAATGAGAGAAAGTTCTGCGTTTTGGGGGGCTTGAAGTAAAGCCCAAATCCCCTGTTTTGGTGCTCAAACCAGGTTCATTTGGCCAGCGAGTCTCTGTTTCTCAGCTCTAAGTCCTGCATTTGGCACAGTCTGAAAGCGGGCTCACCCGGCCCCATCGAGAGCTCAGAAACCGCATCTCAGCGCCGCGTTTGGGGCTAGAGGCACGGCCCCTGTCCCGTGTTTTGGGACTCAAACCGGGCTCCGGGGACGGTTGTAGGGCTGAGAGCAGAGCCCAAGTCCCGCGTTTGGGGCACTGGCAGAGCTCTGGGCATCGGGCTCAGCACGGTATCCTGGGGGCTGCCCCTGCACCGGCGCAGCCCCGGGTCCCCGCGGCAGGAGCGGGACGGTGCCCGAAGCCCCCAACCCCGCGCCGGCCGCAGTCTCAGCAGGAGCGGCAGCACCGGATTCGGCCCCAGCGCCCGCCCCGGAGCGGCTCCTCCCGCCCGCGGCGGTCCCAGTCCCGGTCCCAGCCCGGCCTCCGTCCTCCGGCCCCAAGACCCCCACCCCGCCCGCTGGAGGAGACGCGGCACCCCGGTGGACACCAGCAGAACTCGAGCATAACCCTCCTGCCCCAGCCCGGGCTCCGCCCAGCGCCGGGAGCAGCCCCCGGGCCGGGCTCCGGCCCCCAGCGCAGGTCCCGCCCCCCGGGAGGAGCGGCCGCGGCCCGGGGCGGGGCGGGGGCCCAGGGGGCCGAGGCCGCACAGGTGAGCGGGGCGGGGCCGCACAGGTGAGCGGGGCTCCAGGGCGGCTGCGCAGGGCGGCACCGAGGCTATTTAAAAGCCGGAAGTGGCCACGGCTGCCATTTGCCCGGTCAGTGCGCGGTCGGGGTGGCTTGGTCGGGGCCGGTCTCCCCCGGGGGAGCCCAGGTGAGGCGCGGGGGCTTCAGCCTGCCGTCCTCTACCCCTTCTTCTCAACCCTCCTCGCTATCCCTTCTCCCTTTGGCCCCAGCCCCTCCTTTCCTCCCCTCCCGGCCCCCCTACGCACCCCGACCCCCCCACTCTACCCCTCTTTCCTCCTCGCTCCTTCCCTCGCTACCCAACGCAGCCTCCTTTCTATTCCCTCTCTACCTTTCCTTCTTCCACCTTGCCTGCTCCTCCTCACCCGGCCTCCTGCTACACACACCCAGCTCCCTTACGCACCCCGA